CGTGCTACTGCTGATGGACAAAATCCTGCGTGGCCCTAAGGACTCGAAACTATGGGAACTATGGTAGATTCCTTATAAAGGGTAATGCAGGATTTTGTCCTTCAACAGTATCTTAATTAAAGCCACATCTGTGACTTGCTTTCTCAGTCCAATGAGCCTTTTATAGGGACCCCAAAAAGCACATAAGCATAAGCTGTTATAGCTTGTTGGGCTTCATTATGAAGGGGCTTATATGGGATATCCCTATTCTTATTGTTGCTTATGTGCTTTGGGCCCTATTTTAGTGCGATAAGGCTTTGAAGCCAAGCCTTCAGGCTTTCGTCTTCTGGCAGACCGCCGTGGCCGCAAGCTGTGCCAGATGCTTAAGCTAGGGGGCGGAATAACCAACGATACACTTCCTTAATGTAGCTGCAATACCCCATTCTGCGGATTGAGGCTCCAATATTGCACTCAAGTGATTCGAGTGCTTGTAGGATGCACACGTTTGGTTTTGGAATTCTCAGTCTCCTTGCAAGTTGCTGTTTTACCTGGCTTCTCAACCTAGTAGTCGAGTAGGTAACCTTGAACCTGTTTTGGGGTAGTATAGCCCCTATATAATCCCTATATAACCAAAAAGCTTAACCTTTAGTTTCCCATGATACCCGACAAGTAGGTCAACGTGCTTCAAGGATCAGGGGCTCTTTCTGGGTCAGTTTTACATTGGGCCGTACAGTCCCTAAGCTCGAGGGCATGCTACTCAAACTCTGGCTTCAAGCTGTTATATAGATATAGTACAAAATACGCCGGAGCCCAATTCCAATCTTCAGGCCCAAACCCCCGTACTTGCCCTAATGGTAACCCTTTCTGAGCCCTCAAAAGAAACCCTTTCTTATTCAGGTTCCTACATTTAGGGTTTATTTAGGGGGATCCTAGAAACCCAGAGAGCATAATACACCTTAACGCAGGTATATACCTCAAATCACAATATTCTGCCCCTTACAATGTAAGGTATGTTCCTTAAGTAAGGGGTATTGGGCTTTCTGGGAAACCCTACCTTTCTGAGGTTCCTGATGATGACTCCCTTATATAAGTCCCCAGAGATGTAATTAGGTTCCTTGGGGTTGAGGTAGGGATTTGTATTTTGGGGTTCAGGGTTCAGGGTTGCGCTGGTTTTAGCGAGGTTGTATAAGGCTTTATGGGGTGGTTTAAGGTTGACAAGTATACGGGATATGAGCAAAACACTTCAAAATTAAATATAGAGGGAGCCTGAGCATGCTTTTAAGGTCTACATCCCAAGCTTGGGGCTTTGGAGCCTTCAGAAAAGACATTGCCAAAACACAACCAAAATCAAAGACCTTTCTGAAGCACACAAAAAATAAAAGCAGGGCCCAAACTCAGATTGTAGACCCTAAACCCTGAACTTTAACCCTAAACCTTAAACTCCTGAACCCGAAAGCCCTCGAGGCGGCCAAGAGAAGGGTGGGCAAAGAAAAAGGCCGGTTTTAGGGTTTTGGGATTTAGGCTTAGGGTTTTTCTAGGGTTTAGGAGTTTAGGATTTAGTAGGGTTCCCAATATCCCTTTCTAAGGGTTTCGTTCTTTAGGGGTGTAGGGGTTGAGGGCTTCAGGGTTTCAGGGGTTTAGGGCTTGAGGGCTTTAGGGCTTTAAGAGGTTTAGGATTTAGGGTTTAGGCTAGTGGTAACAGCGCGGCTACCAGCAGCAGCAGCAGCAGCAGCAGCAGCAGAAGTAGCAGTAGCAGTAGCAGTAACAGTGACAGTGGCAGTGGCAGTGGCAGTGGCAGCGGTAGTAGTATATAGTAGTCGTCGTGGTGGTGGTGGTTTAGGGTTTAGGGGTAGGGTTAAGCGTGTAGGGCTGTTGAGTATTTCTTTGGTTATTAGCGATTTGTTGCTTCATGCTGTCGTCTATGTGGATCTCCAAGATACGGGGTATTTTGCTGTTTGCCTTAGAAGGAGAGTAAAGTCAGGGGGCTGCTGCGCTCTGCAAGTTCAGGTTCCTTGTGGCTGGATCATTAATTATCTACTATTTGCTTAAGAACCCCCAAAAAATAAAAAATATATTCCTTATAGGGATAATATAGGGATTATTATTTTTTTATTTTTTGGGGGTTCTTAAGCAAATAGTAGTTATGAAGGAGTTTACAGTGTGTGCTTCAAGGTTCTCAGGGCTCACCGCGAGTTGCTGCGTTCTCGAAAGTAACTGTACTTGAAGGCTCATGAGACTTAGTAAGTGGGTTATAACTGGGGATATAAGTCCCCGAAGTGGGGTTATCCTAATTGTAACCTACTTATAACCTTACTTACTAAGTCCCATGAGCCGTTAAGTAGACCCTAAACCCTAAACTCTAAACCCTACTATAGAACCCTATGGTACCCTTAAAAGGAACCCTAAACCTCACTAAGTCCCATGAGCCTTTAAGTAGAGGGCTCTCAAGGGTGCTTTAAGAGGCGTGACAAGGGTGCTCAACGGGTTGATTGATGAGACTGACCGGCCCCTAGCAGCTTAGAGGCTTACTTAGAGGATCATGGGACTTAGTAAGTAGGTTATACATGGGGTTATAAGTCCCTAAGTGGGGTTATCCTAAAAATAATAACCTACTTATAACCTTACTTACTAAGTCCCATGAGCCTTTAAGTCGGGTTTACCTTAACCCCAAATAACCTCTCAAAGGGGAAAAGGAGGGACCCTTACTGGGGACCCTTAGCCTATAATGGGCTATATCATGGGTATATGATGGCTATATGAAGGGTATCTTACCTAGGGGTCCTTATTAAGGGTCCCTCCTTTTGCCCTTGGAACCTACCCTTTTTAGGGACCTATATAAAGACATCATAATAAGGGACCCTAAAAGGGTAGGTTACCTTGGCCCCAAATAACCCAATTTTCTAGGGACTTATATAAAGAAATCATAATAAGGAACCCTCTAAAGGTTATTCAGGGTTGAGGTAGGGCCTGTTTTCCTCTGGCTCCTTCGAGAATGGTTATAGTATAATACTTACTGGCTGTACACTCAACTTCTCAACTTTTGGGGTTCTTGTAAGGTAGTCGGTTCTGAAAGTTTCAGCTTCGATTTCCCTGGGTTTTGGGCCAGTGAGATAACAGAACCCCAGGGCACAAAATAGCAGAAAATTCCTTCCATAGCATTTGCTTTCTGGCCCAAAAGCCTTAAGACAGACGCTTTCAGATAGTAAAAAGTATTCTGGGGACGCTTCAGGGTGCCATGTTGTGTTGTGTGAATGAAGGGGGTGAGGGCTTGGGGGTTTAGGATTTAGAGCTGGGGTTTAGGGTTTAGGATGATAGAGAGGACGTCTGATTGGGGTTAATATTGGGGCCTTGACGATTCGAACGAGGTTTCGACGTATGCTCTACGATAGTTAAACATGGAACCCCAAGCGATGGTTTTCCAGTGATGCAGGATTCTGTATTGGGGGCTTTGGGTTCTAGGAGTTTGAGCTTAAGGTTGAGGGCTCAGCGTCGGAAGCGCCGTGTTTTTCATTTAGGAGTCAGGATTGAGCAGGTTTGGGGGTTTGGGGTTTGGGGGTCTGGGGTTTAGGGTTTAGAGCTTTGGTTTTGGGAGTCAGGGTTGGAGCTTCAACGCGTCAAACTGTAGCCGGGCCGGCTCTTGTCGCCAGGCGCCGTCGGGCGAGCTTGGGACAACATCGAGCCAGAATGTGACAGCCTCGGTCCTTCTGAGGTAGGTTCCTTCCTTAGATAGTGAACGGGGGAGCTTTAAGCTTTTTGGCTTTATATATTAGCTCTATGTTACAAAGCTTGAACTTTTCGGGGCCCGGTTGTTGAAGAAGACGGCTTCAGAGAGTCCGATACCCCTTAAATGTAGCTCAGTCAGAAGATCGAGCCATAGGCCCTAAAACTTGAAAGGTTGATAGAGGGTGTTTTGGAAGCAGGAAGCCAATCAAGAAGGCAGGGGGGCCCGCAGCCAGCCACGGAGACAGTATCCAGAGAGCCCAATACCCTTCAAGTGAGGACTAGACTGTGAATTATGAGGTGCCCAATAACACGAGTTAAGGTATATTCCTTGATTCGGGGATATTGGGCTCTCTGGGTAACTGGTCAGGGGCAATACCATCAGCGTCGTGAGCGTCAAGAACCCTTAGACCCTCTTATTTTGGAGCCCCCCGATCAGGACACAGAGTAATATGGAAGCCGGAATATTTAGTAATACTCTTCCTTGGGGTTGCTAGCTTAACCCTAAACCCCTGAAGCCTAAATCCCTGAACCCTAATCCCAAGGCCCGAAAGGGAAGATATGCTGTGGACAAGCCGAGGCCGAGAGAAGTTGGAGAAGAACCGAACCGCAGCAGCCATGCGCTGCTTGGAAGGCCTCGTGCGTACCTCTGAGCGTTGGGAGGGTTTTCTGGTTCCTTTTTAAGGTTCTGTTAACCTAGTAGTCGAGCAGGTAACCTTTAACCTTTTTGGGTAGTATAGTCCCTATACAACCAAAAAGCTTAACCTTTAGTTCCCCATGATACCCGACAAGTAGGTTAAGGGTTTCGTAAGGTTTGCTGTAATAACAGGTTTATATGGCTTTTAGCATAGGGGGCTTAAGAATAAGATTTGGTTTTGGGGAGTATATTATACTATAATGACAGTAAGGAACCCCGCAATATACCCTTCATGGTGGGCTCCTGTATTGCCTGAAGGTACTCGACGAATCACCACCTCCTTAGGGACGAAATGAACCCTAAAAGGGTTTAAGGTTCATATACCATAGGGATTCGTAGTACATGGGTACGGGGCCCCTACTTTTACGGCTCATTTGGTCCTTTAGGCTGGCTCTGGATACGGGTTAGGGTCTAGCTTGATTGTCCTGAGTTGTACTATAGTCGGGATGCAGAATGATATCTTGCTTTGTAATGGTAATGGTAATGGAGCGCCACTGCAGAACACGTGGTGGAGCAACGCTGCACCAGAGTGATCTACTAAGCATATTGTGCGGTACCTCAAGGGGAGCCTTGCAGGTCGGGACAATATGCTAACTGTTTTGTTTCAGTGCTCGTGACCGCCTCTCTCGAAATCCATGGTCCAAGCATCCATGCGGGCCTCATCCCGTTCATCGTTCTGTTGACACAGGTGCCAACGGATCTGAGCTTCAACTTGCGAACCTACGAAGGTTACATGCTGTAAGAAGTCGCCGTGGTTGGCAGGCTCTCGGAAAAGATCCGGCACAGCTGGCGCAGAAATCGGCCTGCTGCGGCCATCCCTGCATTCCCCCAACACATGGAAGGTCGCAATATTCCTGCATCCACACAACCTACAGAAAGGTAACTCGCCCATCTGCGTCTCGACGTCAAAGAGTCCCATAGGCCATGCCCCTGTAAGTTTAATCAGATACCAGATGCGGACAAATCTCCACGATACGTCGTTGACAAGCAACAGGCTGATGGCAGTTTTGGAGAAACAACCTAGATCCTCATACGAAGCACGAATGCCTGGCAACTCCTTTCTCGCATCTCTGCGAAAAACAGCTGAATCCAGATGCAGCACGGCAGGCCGCACCACATCCCACTTGTACTTGCGCAGTATTCTCCGACGTACAGTACTATCAGTGAAGACCAGGCGCTCTTCATTGACATCAATTACACGTGCAGCAAAGATGTCTGGGATTGGACCGGGGAGGCGAGGGTCAGACATAATGGCCTGGACTCGCCGTGCCCAAGTGTCGCACGGCGCAAGCAAAGCAAGTTTCAACATCTTATTAGCAGGGTGACTTGCCGGCAGGAGAAGCAACTTGTTGTAGAAAAGAACAGCTTTTTCGAGCATGGCTGTACCCAGCCGAAGGCTCCACCCACACTCTGCAACTGCAAGGGTGCCACGCACCTCTGTGAAACAGCAGGAGTGCGAACCACACTCTGCTGTTAAGGAACTACAACAGAAGTTTGCGAACCATGACAGGTATCTAATCAGTGAGTGACTGAGTTTTGCGTGAGTGACTGAGTGCTTCTGCTTCCGTGTGAGTTCTGCTGTGCCGCACCGCAGGGTTTTCTTGGCCCGAATCCGTCAATGAAGCAGGCCCCTATGGGGGGCCAAGAAAGCGAGTAGGCCCCTATGGAGGGCCGAGAAGGCGAGTTGGGCCAAGTGGTCCGTCCGAGAAGGCCGAGAAGGCCACGTGGTCCAAGAAGGCCACTTTCTGGTAATTTCGGAACCCCAAAAGCAAACGACGCACGATTTGGGGTTCAATTTCGAAATTTGGACCGAAATCGGACGTCGTTTGCACTTTCTGGCAATTTCGGAACCCCAAAAGCAAACGACGCACGATTTGGGCTTCAATGTCGCAGTTCAAGGCGAAATCGGACGTCGTTTGCCTTTTTGGGCAGTCTCGGAATACATTTCACAGAACGAAGCCCTATCCCGAAAGTCACCAACCAAAACCAAACGACGCATGACTTGGGGTTCAATTTCGAGATTTGGACCGAAATCGAACGTCGTTTGCACTTTCTGGAAATTTCGGAACTCCCGAAGCAAACGACGCACGATTTGGGTTTCAATTTCGCGGTTCAGGCCGAAATCGGACGTCGTTTGCCCCTTTGGGCAATTTGGGACTGCTACACCGACCAAAGCAATCCCGGAAAACTACATGCTGCGAGGTCCACACAGAGCCTTTGAGTCCAGGTGGGAAAGAGCCCAAACAACACCAACGGAGATCGAGCCTGCGCATGCGTTCGACATGGCTTGCAAGGCGTCCGCTCACCGACTGAGCTATAGCCGGCTGTGTCTCACGGCGGGCGGTTGCCTCATTAGTCCTTTTGGGCAGGATCGCGGGCTCAATCCCCACAGTGTCACTTGGGCCCTTCCCCCACCCGGAATCGAAATATTTAGATGACCAAAAACCGCCGAGAGCACAACCAAAATACCAAAACCGTGCAAATCCATTCCCACTTGCCCATTCCCAAAAGCCCGAATACACGGGCCCGCTGCTGCTGGTGCTGGTGCGGCGACTGCTGATGTTCTGCTCCTGCTCTTGACAATACCAGTACTACTGCTGCTGCTGCCGGTGCGATTGCTGCTGCTGCTGCTGCTGCTGCTACTTCTACCGCTGCTGCTGCTGCTGCGACGACGACTACTCCCACCACTACTACCACAAAAACTGCTGCACGCCACGACGACTACCTCTCTTCGGCGACTACTACCACTTTTTGCGGTCAAGGTGACAGCTGCTGAGAAGTGCTGAGAACTGTTGCAAACAAGCATGAATTGGCATGAGCGATCAATGAAATAGCATGGATGGAAGATGGGATGGCTGCGATGGCCACTCCAAACCTTCGACATCGACATCATCATCATCATTATCGGCCTCAACAAACCCATTTTGGGAAGCTGAAGACTAGTAGATTCAAATCAACTCGTCCTTTCATGGAACCTCTCACTACAACAATATCAAGCCAGAGCCGGTCCCACGAGAGCCGGATGTCCCTCCAGACCCGGATGTCCCGCAAGAGCAGGATTCCCACGACAGCGCCAGGTCCTCACAGAGCCTTTGGTCGTCCCAAAATCTCGATTCCAGGTGAGAAAGAGCCCAAACAACACCCATGCGGATCGAGACTACCGTACGCCCGCCCTCTGAGCTGTAGCAGATAGTTTTTTGGGCGTGCGGCCGCCTCACACTCGTATTGGGCAGGATCACGGGCTCAATCCCCACGGTGTCCTTTCCCCACCAGAATCGAAATTTCGAAATGCCCAAAAACCGCCAAGAGCACAACCAAACTACCAAAATCGTGCAAAATCACCGAAACCCTCCCAAACCCACCCATTCCCACTAGCCCATTCCCATATGCCCGAATACACCCGGGCCCACTGCTACTGGTGCTGGTGCTGCGACTGCTGATGTTCTGCTCCTGCTCTTGACACTATTAGTCCTGCTGCTGCTGCCGGTGCGATTGCTGCTGCTGCTACGACGCCTACTACTACTACTACTACTGCTACTACTACTTCTACTACTTCTACTGCTTCTACTAGTGCTTCTACTTGCGAACGGACTGCGATGCCTAGTCAAGTTCTATGGTGTCACGATAAGAGCTATGAGTGCGACCTTGTATAGGTCAAGAGTGGAGGCACGCTACGGTTCTCCATCTCTAGGTGCAGGCCTGTGGGCATGCTACGCATACCACAGAGCTCACTTTATCATATGCCGCCCATGCAACTTTGGCTCAAGAATGAGCACAAGCTCTAGAAAGCATTGCCGCTAGCTAAAATAGCTTTCGTCTTCTGTGACCTTTCCGAGGAACAGAGCCATCCCGAGCACAGACGATCCATCGCTGGCCGCGAAGGTGGAAAACAAGCGAACTCTGGATCTGCCTGCCCTGGAAGTAGCGCTTGCAAGTGGGAGTGAAGGAGAGAGCGTATCGAGTCTGTTGAGGGCAACCACATCATTACCCAATATAGCTCGGTGGGGTGAGCGACAAGGAACATCATCAAGAACAAATCCCCACGCACTACTGCTACTACTACTACTACTACTACTACTACTACTACTACTACTACGACATCAGGCGTTGGGGTGTGGACAATGTCCGCTCCACCTGTGTCGCCAACACGAGCACTTGATTCTTGCGGCATCGCTTTCTTTCATCCATAGCAAGCAAAACTTGGAAAGCTCTGCCGTCCAAGTTGGCTGTCTGATGTTCCTCGTCTGGCTTGCTTCCAGCAGAAGGTCCGACTCACGTAGGCAAGGTATGGAGGGAAAGAAGTCCAATTTGCCAAATTGGTCGTCTCAGTTTCAGCTCTTTGCGACGAAGCATCCAAGAGTCTGGGAGGATGCGCTCCTAGCCCGACCGAGCGTGCATGACGGAACACACACACCAGTAATGATTGAGGCTCCGATGGCCTCTTGGCATGTGTGTGGCAAGCGCCTCTCTACTTGCCATCAAACTCCACGGTTTGTCCCCCTCTTTCACCCTGAGCGGCGAGGCCCATAAAGTAGCGGCTTGTGCGATCTCCTCCATCACAGTCCCCTGTGCTCCAGCTTGCCACTATGGAGGGGAAGAAGTCCAATTTGCCAAATGGGGAGTGTGTGCCATGGACCGAAACCCCTGTCCTGACCCCCCCAAAAGCAAACGATGCACGATTTGGGTCTCAATTCCGTAGTTCGGGGCGAAATCGGACGTCGTTTGCCCTATCCGTCCCCCAAACCAAACGACGCACGATTTGCGGTTCAATTTCGGAATTTGGATCGAAATCGGACGTTGTTTGCCCTTTCCCCCGAGAGTCCCTCTAACCAAACGACGCACGGATTGGTGGACCGACTTCGGACTTCGTTTGCTGGTCTGATCTGGACGTTATCATGGTTGGCCCATTGGGTGCTCTGTGCGAATGGATGTAGTTTGATCTGGACGTTATCATGGTTGGCAAATGGATGCTCTGTGCGAATGGATGCAGTTTGATCTGGACGTAATCATGGTTGGCACATGGATGCTCTGCGGGAACAGATGGTCTGATCAGGACGTTATCATGGTTGACCCATGGATGCTCTGTGGGAATGGATGGAGTTTGATCTGGGGACGTTATCGTGGTTGTGGCCCATGCTGCGCGGGAATGGATGGACTGTGATCTCAACATCATGGTTGGCCCATGGATGCTCTGTGGGAACGGATGGGCTCTGATCTGGACGTAATCATGGTTGGCCCATGGTTGCTCTGCGGAAACGGATGGGCTCTGATCTGGACGTTATCATGACTCCTGAGCCTCCGAGCTGAAGCGGGTTGTTAAGCACAACGAACATGGGCCCGCAGATGCCCATGGAGGCCTATAGGCTTCCCAGGACTGTTCCACGACAGTGTTACTTGAAGAGATTCTTAAATTCTTGTCGCGGTTCCTTTGAAACCGAAGCGTGGTTCCTATTTGTTGTTTCTTTGCGTGGTTCGTGCCCCCCCTCCTCTGTGAAACCCCGTGCCCCTAAGATGGTTTTAGCCCACGAACTCTGCAGTCTGTTAAGTCTCGCTTCTGCACCCTCAGCGAGAACAAGCAACTCCGACCCATACAGCAACAGCGGTTCCAGCCGTCTTGGGACCTCGAGGGCTTCAACCGCCTGTGGCTAAACGTCAAGTCCTTGTCCAGCTCCACGCCTAGCAGCTTATAAACAGGAACATGTTCGCGCGCAGCAGGTGCTTCGAAACAAGCCATACTTGCCGTCTTCTGGGGGCCGAAATTGAAAGAAGCACGGGCTAATCTAGCAAAAGTCTCTAGTCCCTGCAGGAGGACAGCATCCACAGATGCTGCATCTGGGTACGGCGCTGCAACATCATCCACAAAAAGGAGAGGTCCCAAACAACCTAGACCCATGGATTCCAAGGCTTGTGATCTCTCACGAAAGGACGGGAGAAGGGGCAACACATGTATTGCCAACCTTCTCGCGTTCAGTTCGTCGCCGGAGAATAAGCATTGTTGCAGGGCACGCGCGATCGTACGGATGCAAATCGGTTGAGGTACAAGCTCGGGAGGAGGCGCAGGCGTAAGAGCCAGCCACGTCCCTTCCAGTGCATCCCGTGCAAAATCCGGCAAGATGGTGGCCGACGTATGAGCTACAGCCTCCATCGTAGTCTGCAAGATTTTCATAGATGCCATAAACGCATGCATGCTAAACCGACGACCCTGAGGAATCCCAGCCGGTAGCTTCAGCAGTGCCGAAAGGCATCCTCCGACTACCACTGCGGCAACATCTTGCCTAAAGAAGTCATCAAGCATCTGCCAATCAAGGCCCACAATGCCAGCCTCATAGCACGTTAAGAGCATCAAGTTCACGTCAGCCACATCAAACGCCCACTTAAGATCTGCAAAAAGAAAATATGTGAGCAATCCCTGGTAATGACGAACTTGGGCATGGAGCACCAACGCCACAATGATTGCGATGCAGTCATACCTCCCGCCTAATTGGCATTCACCGGTATATTTCTCAATGAAAGGCTTACAACGAGATAACCACAATGCATCCTGGATGGCCGACATGTCGCTCGCCCGACTCACAGGACGCAAATTTGCGATGGAAGTGACTAACTGGGGTCCTGCCTTGCGGATGGGCGAAATGTGCCGAGTGCTCCAAGCAGCAGCTGTCAGACCACAGGCTCTGCCCAAATTGCAGAGCTGCAGTGCTAAGCTATCAGTTACCAATGAACCAGCTTTGACTGCAGCCAACGGCGTGTGAACCGACTTCTTGGAGGCACAAATCTTCGTCAGGCAAGTTCGGAACTCGTCTTGCGAATACAATCGGGGTAGTTGCGCTGTCGTGGTTGATGGTAACTGCTGGACACCTGGTACACCGGTAGGCGGTGCGCCCGCCGCGCGAATATCGGCAACCAGGTCAACGAGGATTTTCCTGCCTTCATCGTCAACAGGAAATTTGTTATTCGCCCTGGCACTCATGTCTGCAGCAATGACCTCTGAAGTTTGGAATGGTCCTAAAGTCTTCTGTGTCTCTTCATCGACCAAGGCGACTTCAAAACGGCGTGACCGGTTAAAGAACCCAGACAAAAAAGAATCAGCCTTAGCAGGGTCCTCGGCACAAAAGGCAGCAAATTTCTGCCGCGCAGTCAACTGTGCAGCGGCAACAGCTCTAGAGACTTGCAAGTTGTCCAAGCGAAGGGGGGCAATTGGCTCAGTCAACTGACGTTTCTTCTTTCTGGTAACCGTCACAGCTACCAGCCCATGGAGGTGCCCTGCCACAGCAACGAGGACTTCCCTACACCAAGCGGCTGCATCCAGTATGGCTCTCCGTCGCTTAACTGGCAAGGTCGGGGTTTCACAAACCTCAGAGATGGCCTCTTCAACAGCAGAGAGGATGACCTGAGTAGATTCTTGCACTGATGACAAAGCCTCAGTCCAAAGGTGTCCATGAGACCATTGAACACGCGCGTCAGGCTGCCACTGCTCGGAGCATGGTACTGCTCCCAATCGAGCCGTCACAAGACGGTGATCGGAGCCACCGAGAGTCTCAGGGTGCACGACAGCTTTAGTGCAAACATCGGGGGTCCCTAAGATGAGGTCTATAATCGTCCCGGAATCAGGCGTGGGGGTGTCGTCGTTGAGCACGGCAAGGCCCGAGGCTGCTACCATCGCTTCAATCTGTCTGTCTCTGGGGGTCTGCTTGCAATGAAGGCAGTTACAGCGCGACTCATGCTTCACGATCTTTGAAAAGTGCGCATTTGCGTCTCCTGCCAGGACAATACGGACTCCAAGGAAAGTTGCCGAGATGGTTTCAAGCTGTTGCAGAAGGAGCGACCACGTTTCTATGTCTCCGCCAGGTGCAGCATAAAAGCCTCCCAGTATGTAAGCAGAGTCACCACCTAAATTTACTGCCAACCACAAGGTTCGATCAGTCGTGAAAGCGTCGAGTTGGTGCACAAGGGGAGCAATTCGCATACTCACAAGGGCACCAATCGAGGCCCATTTGGCATTCGCAGTGCCAAGCATCCGAAACCCTAGATCTTCCGGGATCTCGGCTCCTGGCGGCCATCTCCAGGCTGGTAAAAAACAAAAGTCAATCTGGTGCGTGACTAACTTATTAGCAATGCGAATCAGCCTCCACCAAATCACCTCATGCGTATGCAGGGAGAGCAGCCCGGAGCGTCCAGGATTGAGCGTGCCAATGGAAAAACTTCGCGTTTTGCAGCCATCTGATGCGGTCGTATCAGGCGCGCCAACAACTCCTCCAATGTATGGTGACACTACATTCGTCTGTCGGGTAGCAAACTGAGAAGCCACGCGAGCAGCCTCATGCAGAAAACCTTTCAAAGCGGACACAGCTGTCGCAAGCGGCGCCAAGGCTGGCACAGGTCCAGAAGCCACTCTGCCCAAGGACCCCGGGTTGGTGGGTGCAAGGCCAAGCAGGCCATTGCAGTCCTGACTGAAAGCCGAGGCTTCCGACGTTCCAGGCTGTCGACTGCACCACTGACGCAGCTTCAAACTCAGGGCTTCCATGTTTCAAGAGGCTTGATCGTGTACAGCTTGAGGGCGGACATCACAAGGAAAAAACCAACAACGACAAGCAAGGGAGCACAACAAACAAACAACAACAACGACAACAGCAACAAAGCAACACCGAAAGAACAAAAACAACAACAGAAACACCACCCCAACCCACACCAACAACGACAGACACAGCCACAACAAAACGACGACGACGACGACAACGACAACGACAGCAACGAGCAGCAACACCAACGACGGCGACGAGGACAGGCACGCAAAAGACAAACGACAACAACACCAACAACAACAACACCAGCAGCAGCAACAGCAGCAGCAGCAGCACCACCACCAGCACCAGCACCAGCACCAAGCACCAGCACCAGCACGAGCAGCAGCACAAACACCAGCACCAGCACCAACAAGACACCAACAACGACAAACCGAAAACAACCAGAACAACAACAACAACAACAACAATAACAACAACAACAACCACAAAAAAAACAACAAACCGCAAACAACAGCACACAACAAGCAACAAGCAGCAAGCAACAACAACAACAACAACAACAACAACAACAACAACAACAACAACAACAACAACAACAACAACAACAACAACAACAACAACAACAACAACAACACCAGCAGCAGCAGCAGCAGCAGCAGCACCAACAACAACAACAACAACAACAACAACAACAACAACAACAACAACAACAACAACAACAACAACAACAACAACAACCACCAGCACCACCACCAACAACAACACCACCACCACCACCACCAACAACAACAACAACCAACAACCAACAACAACAACAACAACAACAGCAACAACAACAACAACAAGAACAACAACAACAACAACAACAACAACAGCAACAGCAACAACAACAACAACAAAACAACAAACCGCAAACAACAGCACACAACAAGCAACAAGCAGCAAGCAGCAACAACAACAACAACAACGACGACGACGGCGACGACAACAACAACAACAACGACAACAGCGACAACAACGACAACAGCAACAGCAACAGCAAAAGCAAAAGCAACAGCAACAGCAAAGACAACGGCAAACAGCCACAACGGCAACCACAACCAGAACGACAACAACAGCAACACCAACCACAGCGACAACAACAGCAACAACAACAACAACAACAACAACAACCGCAACGACAACCACAACGACAACCACAGCAACAACAACAGCCACAACCACAACCACAACCACAACCACAACCACAACCACAACCACAACCACAACCACAACCACAACCACAACCACGACGACGACGACGACAACGACAACGACAACGACAACGACAACGACAACGACGACAGCAACGACAACGACGACGACAACGACGACGACGACAACGACAACGACAACGACAACGAACAGCAACAACACAAACAGCGCCAAGAGCACCAACAGCAGCAGCAGCACCACCACCACCACCACCACCAGCACCACCGCCACCACCAGCACCACCAACGCCGCCACCACCACAACAACAACAACAACAGCGACAACGACAAAAACAACAACAGCAAGAGACAACAACAACACGACCTGCCAACATGCACGTGGGTCGCAGCTTGGTTCGTTTGTCGGTCGGCAAGCGACGTGTTCGCTCCATGGCACTCTCTGCTTCGAATTATCAGTTACCATCAACGCCAAGTGCTATCACACAGAGCGGTGACGAGGTTCTTCAACAAGCTCAGCCAAACATGCTTCAGGCCAAGCCACAGCAAACGAAAAGCTCAGTTTGAGCCTGTGCCCCAAAAGCTAAGGTGCTGCTGTCTGCCGAAAGCCTTCGCGATGGGAACTGCATTTTCCTTAGAGGCGGCCTTGCTCTTGGAACTTTCAGGCTGCTTCGCAGTCACAGAGCAAGGCGCACCGAACACAGGAAGCAACATCATGATGACACAAGTTTCAAACATCGAGCGCTTTCCCTTGACAGCAACATTTCCCTTGGCCCGCTGCATCTGGACAGTTACCTTAATCAAGGGGTCCTTACAAAAAACCAAAGCAACTGAATACTGGCCTGCCTGGCCTCCTTGCAAGCCAAACGGCGCTGAAACGGGGGTGGAGCCTTTCGGGAAGACATCTACGCCCATAGCAGCGATTTTCTGGTGCAAGTGACTCTCCGATGCCACTGCAGGGGACGGTTCAAATGTCACAACAAGATCTGTCTTGGGAAGCCGTGAAACTGCATTGATCTTAGCGTTCCAAACATGCAAAGCCTGAACTAACTGATCAGATGTCTTCAACATCAAGAGATCTTCACAGGAGGGCTTCGCCCACGGGTTCACGGGATATCTGGTTTGCATCTCGGTTCTCTTCGGTGACCGAGACCGTGCAAGATCCTTTCGGGCCTTGGCATCAGCCTCTTCCTTCATGAAAGCACTCGTGAGCTCAGCAGCCCATTGCTCGGCTTCTGCCCACTGCGTCTCTTCACGAAGGTCACTTTGAGAGCTAAGCTCTTGCAGATCATCAGCGTTGCCACTGTGTTGCGAGGTTGTGTCAGCATCGTACGAGCATCTGTTTCGAGCAAGCATCTGGTTTCGAGTCTCGCTCATCCAACATTCCAGCGCCATGTGCACAGCACGGTGCTGCTCAAAGCTTGGAAACATGAGGGATTCCAAGGCACAGTGCGCCAGATCAATGGCACAACCTGAAAAGCTACAACCCGCTCGGGCCGAAGATTCGTATGAAATGTAAATTTGATGAGGCCTCCAGCACTGCAAATCAATCACAGCCTGCGCAAAGCTATCTTGAATCAGCCGCACATTCTCTCCTTCGCAGAGACGTGTTCAATCCCCCTCCGGCCCAAGATCAGAATCGGGTTCCTTTCCAAGGCCCCCGGTAATGAGAGTAATAAAACAAAAAACCGAGTCTCAACTGATGTAGCAGCTCGTCACACCAGTGCAAAGCAAACGTTCACAACGAAAAAAGAAGGAGGCGAGAGGGAGAGGAAAAAAACGAGAGAGACGAGAGGGGACGTTTTGAGACGAAGGGCACCCAAAACAAAAGAAGACCACCCCCAACCACCCGGGCCGAGCCCACGACCAACGAAGGGGGAACACGGGATCAAAAACAGGAATTTCGAGGGAGAAGGCCCGAAAAAATGAGACAGCCCCGCCAAAGGAGTGACAAGGGGTCTGGATACCCCATCACACGACCAGCCCCATCCCGAATGAACGCAGACGACGCAGAGAAGGACCACCAAAAGAAAACCCAGCATCCATGCAAGTGTGCATCATCAACATCTCTCAGGGCCCATCGGCGGCCATGGTTTACACCACTCACTACAGTGGCCCATGGACGCCTCAGGTAACCCCGAGCTCGAGCAATGACAGCTTCAAACCTAATGTTTGACGGAGCCACTCTGAAGCAAACGAGCACGAGTCATACCAGAACCAAGAACAACGATTGGTTGATAGTTGCCATCTGGGGGGTGCAGGTACTTATCTGGCACGGCAGGTGTGCGTGTGCGTCTGTATCCGCACAGCGTGCGATTTCTTGCAAAACCTAGACCTCCAGGCTTTCTAAAATAGGGGAGCATCGCCTTCGGGCTTGCAGACGCTATACCGGAACCTGCAGCGTGTCCTAGCAGCCCAGTTTGAGTTTGCCAAATCTAAAACTTCGGGACTAGGTGAACTCCCCGCCCCCGCGAACCCAAGTTTGCGCAACTCAGCAACGAGGTTTTCGCGGCAACATAAATTCTAAATAAAAAGATCCTTATTCAAACAAAACAAAGGCTTTGGTATAGAGGTCGGACAAGAAGTAACCAGATGCCCTTACAGCAACTGTCTCATTATGGTACTGTGGGTCCCAGAACCCCGTTCTATTCACTAAGGCTCATAGTATTTCCAACATGTTGTAAAGCCACAAATGTTCGAATTATGTACCCCTGTAAGAGTCTATACACCCCTACGAACCCCTACAAATTCCGGAAAGAAGCCAAGAGAAGCAGCAACAAATCATCCAAACCCAAAGCCCTAAACCCTAAAGCCCTAAACCCCGAACACCTCAACCGTAAACGGACACTGCGGGTGAAGACCTGGTGCATCCGTTCGCAAGAGGCCACTTCTGGGAAGCGCGAGAACCAGGCCTATCGTTGGGCATCTTGAGTTCCGTGGTTTGGCTTTAGAGTTCGGGTTTATGGGGTGTGTATATGGAGCTTATGGGTGCTGTAAGAGCTTTGCCGGTGTTTGAAAGGTTTCTGAAATAGTGTGATGATCTTTTTGGGCTAGGGGCTCTTGATTGATTGGTGCTACCCGCTTGCGCTGTTGATTTGAGGGTCTCTTGAGCTTGAATGCCAGGCAGAGGCTTTTGTCTTCTTGTTAAGGGGATACTTGGGAATCTTTAGACTAGGGTGATCTCGCAGGGAATGATATGTGTGAAGGAATGTGCATCGTATTAACTTTCGACCACGTCCTTAATTTAGCGGCTGAGGGCCGTTTAGGGCTACTAACTGCATCCCGTCTTTTGCCGGGGCATTCCAGAAGCCATGCTTTTCGCGGAAATGTTGGGACGCGTGACTCAACAGAAGCTCCATGCGGGTGTAGAGAGGTGTTGGGTTTTTGGCTTGTCGTTTACGGGTCATTTTTCAGGAACAAATACGTACCCTCGTCGGAATCAAAAAGACAAGAGTGCCTAACAATGTGAAAGAAAGTAAAAATGGAAAGCTGGTGCCCTAAACCCTAAACCAATTTACTGCCGGGCACTTGGCCCCGATGTCCGATGATTCCTTATCCGGTCACATCTCCTGCGAACTTTCCAAGCTCATAAAAATAGAAGCCGAAACAGAAAGGGTCAGCAAAACTGTTGATGATATAAATCCTGCATTACCTTAAGGACCCAAAACTATAGGAATGATGGTATATTCCTTATTATGCGCAATGCAGGGTTTATATCATCAACCGTATGATTCCTCAGGGTTCCTTACAACTGTCTTATCAACATACTCTGAATTCTAAACCCTATGTAAAATATACCCTCTTCCACTTACTCAGGCCTCTACATTACTACCTGGTCCTAACAGATGGCAGGCAAGCGTGCGGGAGATTTCTACACAACGTGGGCGGCTCGGGAATCGGAATACACGTCAGGCTTCAGGAGTTTATGGTTTAGGGGTGAGGGTTCATGGGAATCGGAACACACTTCAGGTTGTTTCCATTAGCCGACACGCGAACCCCAAACAGTTCTTGGGTTTGGGATGTAGCTGGATGGGGAAGAGTCCTTCGTTGGATCCGTTGGAGGCCACCACGAATGGCTACGAGCGCCGTGCATTGGAAACGATGCACATGGCGCGAGAAGACCAGGAATCACACAAATCCCACTGAGAAACCGCACTCGCCGGATTATTCGGGAATCCGGCTCAGGATTCAAGATTACAACTTGAGCCAGCTGAAGCACATTCGGACTTGAGTCATGAGCATCTTGCAGGTTCCCATTAACCCAGATCCCCGGGAGAATCTAGAAAGTAGATCCCCTAATTTGGGACCCTATACTACTAAGGGTACTTTATAGGAACCCCCATTTACTGATCTACTTTTTTGGATCCTTCAAAGGGGGTCTGGGAAATTGTTGGCCCGTATACTAAAACTCCAGAAAGGCCCTGGTCGCAACCCTTATAGCTTAGGGGTACTTAGAAATAATTTTTAATTTTTGTTTATTACAATCCCTAAGAAACAGCTACAATTATAATTTTTGCTAGGGTTCTAAGTTCAGTATAGATAGAACTTTCAAAGCCTTACCTGGACCCTAAGGAACCTACCTTCTTAGGGTTCGCTAATATGATTTCTTTATATAGGTCCTTAAAAGGTAGGTTTCTTGCGGTTAAGGTAAAGGCACCCACTAAAGCAAACCTATTCAAGTTTTTGAAGACCCCTTATTATACCTAAACCCTATGAAACCTTATAGAAGCCCTGAAGAACCGATGATACCTGTTATAGTAACCCCGAAGAGCCTGCAAAGCAACCCTTGAAAGGAGCAGTTTCAGGGAACCCTAGTGTGGCTACTAGAGCCCCTACACTTAACACGTATCCAACCTAAGCACTGTCCTCATTACGAAACCCTAAACCCCAAACCCTACACCGAGGCTTCGCAAGCTGCGCCATGACGCCGAGATGTTCACCTGGCTGGAGCAGGCGCAGGGGCTCTTCCTGTGGGGTTTAAAGCTTAGGGGTTTAGGGTTTAGGCGGCCCCTGTTCCCCTAAACCCTAAACCCCTGTAGGGTTTAGAGCTCCTTTAAGGGTTCCTGGTTGGAGCAGGCTAGGAAACTTACTTCGGGTTTAGAGGAGTTGAGGGTTTAGGGCTCCTTTACGGGTTTAGGGTCAAGGGTTCAAACGGGTCCAGAAGGGATCTAAATGGGCTTTGGAGCAGGCTCGGAAACTTAGGGGTTTGGGTTTTCGGGTTTGGGGTTTAGGGAGTTCGGGATGTACCTGACGATCTATAAACCGTGCTGTTTCAAGTGGTATACCCAATCATTTAGGAGTCATGGCCTACTAACTTGAAGGGGTCATAGCCTACTAACTTGACGAGTCGAGGGATTACAGGAGAGGGTTATGCACCGAAGCTCAAATCGCGCGACCTTGCACTCTACTCTTATTGCAACTGCTGTTGGAGACCTCCTTCAGAACCCAAAACCCGCAAACCCTCCACCAACCTGTATTTAGTCCTCGTAGAACCCTTGTGAGACCTTTTTAGTACCCTCCTAGAAACCGTATGCAACCCCTGCGGAACCTTCGCCATCACCTCAAGCCACCCCTAAACCCTAAAACCCCCAAACCCTAAGAGGGAACTCCAGAAAGTTGGAATATGGTTTCATGGTAGGATCCCCTATAATTTACCTTAAAGGGATTAGGATAATGATATTCCAACTTGCTGGCTTTTACCCTAAGACCCCAAACCCTAAGCTCTAAGAAGCCCTAAACCCCACACCCAAGAAGTTCAGAGACCCTGATACTTGGGAGTTTCCGAAAAATAGGGGATCCTAATAGAATACCCTAAATAGTAGGATCTTTTTTCTAAGGACACCAAAATCAGGTACCCCTAATTTTCGGAAACTCTAAACCCGAAACCCTTTATAGAACCCTTATTGATCCCCTAAAGGAACCCTTAAAGGACCCCAAAATCCGGTACCCTTAAGGTAAAAGCCAGAAAGTTGGAATATGATTATCCTAAACCCTTAATGGCAAATTATAGGGTATCCTACCTTGAATTGAAACTATATTCCAACTTTCTGGAGTTCCCTATATAAGGACCCCAAAATCAGGTACCCTTAAGTCTCGGAAACTCCCGCTTGCAAGGAGGGCAAAGTCAAGGCCGAAGTGAAGAAGCTCTACCGAGGCGCGGAAGTCTTTGTAGTATCCTTAAGGGAGGGGGGTCCAAGGGGAGTATATAGCCTAGTGAACCCTAATTCTTTCTAGTACTCCCTAAGGTTCCCTTACAGTCCCCTAAGGACAGAGAAATCCAGAAAGTTGGAATAATTTACCATAGGGTTCTATAATAGGGTTTAGAGTTTAGGGTTTAGGGTCTACTTAACGGCTCATGGGACTTAGTAAGTAAGGTGATAAACAGCTTATAATTAGGATAACCCCACTTAGGGGACTTGTAGCCCCAGTTATAGCCTACTTACTAAGTCCCATGATCCTCTAAGTAGGCTTTCGGGGTTCACTTGCAGGGTTTTGGGGATGTAGTAGGTGGGAAGTAAGTAGACTGGTAAGTACCCTAAAAGGGATCCTAGTTGGGGTTATGATACTGATATGGGTAGTTGTTAGAATTAAGGTCCCTTTTTGGGTACCCTAAATAATAGGTGCCGTATTATAATGGGGACCCAAACATGGGAGCATAATTTTGACAACCAACCAATATGTCTGTAAAGTAACTACTTACGAAGTTCCCCGACTCCCGTCCCTCCAAGTAGGGTTTTAGGGATTGACGGTTTAGGGGTTTAGGGTTTAGCGCCTTTATAAGGGTAATATAAGATCCGTTGTTTAGGGGTCCACCCGCAGGGGTTCTACCTACAGCCCTTTGAGGTTTAGACTATGGTTTTTTCGGGGTGAGGGCTTTGATGTAGGATTCAGAATGCAATGTTTATAGGGGTTTTCAGGGCTCCGAAGTTTGGCTCTGGAGTATTTCACTTGATTGAAGGAACCATTATGACAAGCTCGACATGTTCCCCCTGGTTATTCCAATGGCTTGAAGCACTTTCGGTTTTGGTGTGAAGGATACAAGGTTTCAGGGCTTTGGGATTTGATCTAGGCTTTGGCTGTTTCGGTTGTTTAAAGAGTCAAAGAGTTTTGGGCTTAGTTGGCTAGGATGCCCAGTAGTACCCTTACTCCCTTTTTGTAGTCCTAGGTTCCTTATAAAGTTACCCAATACCAAAAAGAGAGGCCCTTTTATTCTTAGGTTACTGGGTATCCTAGGTTGGCATGCTTGGGGCTTGAGCATTGTGTTCTTCAGGTCACTATGGCGGTCTTATGCGGTTGCTTTACTTACCTTTGCTTAGTAGGGAATGGAAGAATGGTAGTAACAGTGGTTATATGGTAGTAATATGATAGTAATATGGTAGTAATACGGTAGAAATATGGTAGTAATAGTAGTTGTAATTGTACCCCATTCCTCAAAGGTAAGTTTAAGGGTCCTCTATGAGGGCTCCAATGAGGGTTTAGGGCTTGCGCGGATTTTCTTTGGGGTCTGTCTCGCGTTTCACGGTTTAGGAATGCAGGGTGTTAGAACTCAGGATTTGGGGTTTAGCTTTTCGCAGGGTTTCACAGCTCCAGAGTTTGGGGTTTAGGGCATGAAAGAACTTCTGTGGTTTAGGATCTTATCTAGGATGCCCAGTAGTACCCTTATTCCCTTTTTGTAGTCCTAGGTTCCTTATAAAGTTACCCAATACCAAAAAGAGAGGCCTTTTTATGCTTAGGTTACTGGGTATCCTAGTTATTGTCCGGCAAGGTCTCCCAATGGCCTTACAACAGTACCCCGCACCAAAATGGGAAGTGGTCCCCGGCACCAGGCGTGTTCCACTCGGCTCGGGCACAGCATCTTGCGAATCCAGACAAGGTGCGCGAGAACTCTCCCCGAAAGCTCTAAATCCAAAAAACCTAAACAGTCTTCAACCGTAGAGATATTCAGCCCCAACTCCTACATCCGAAGCTTAAAGCCATTAAGCCTAAGCCCTTCAAAACCCTGAGCGCTAAAAACCCCGATTCCAAAACCTCAACCTGAAGATCTCGAAGTCGGCTTTCCCCTCGAATGCTGCGGAGTCCCCAGAGAGCCCAATATTTGGAGAGTCAGGGGACCGTAAGTACCTCTTGAGTTTGTAGACTTACAAGCATCATCACCCCATGTCGGACCCTTTTATTGGGTACTAATAACTCTACCTGTTATCTACTTACTAAGTCCCCAGAGAGCCCAACACCCCTTTTAATTAAGGAAAATAGCCTAAAGGTAGGGTTCCTTGAAGGGCTCCTTGAAGGGGTGTCTCAGGGCTTGTATAGGGCCCATATACACCGTAAGGAATGAATGCAGCCCCTGAGAATTTAAGGTATATTCCTACATGAAGGGGTACTGGGATCTTTGCGTTTTCGACACACCGCACAAGCGCACAGATGTTGGAGATCTCCAGCAAATGGCATCAGCAAATGGAGGCCCACGACTCCCCTTCGGCTTCTGTTGGCGACGGCCTACTGGCAAGAACTGGGCAACCGAGATTTGAAGGTGCAGGAGCAGCTGACGACCGAGTTTGGACAGGCGCTCGTTGCGAAGCAGATGCTGACGGCCGAGGGGGCATGGACCTTTCTTGCATGGATCATGCCACCAAGAGCCTGAAGAGGACCACGGCCACGCCGATCCCCATGGCCGAGATGCTACAAACGCTCAAGACCATCGGCGAGCTGGTTCAGTTACCGCACATGATTACTCGGTTTCAGACGCTCAAGCCGCTTCGAACCGTAGACATGAAGTCTCAGACGGTGGTCGTTCCATGGCGAATGGAGCTCTCGCTTCGTCACGAGCAGGCGCGGTCAGTGTAAAGTCGGCCAAGTATGTGCTTTTTGTAAGGGATGTATACTGCTCCTGAGGGCTAAACGAGAGGGCTGAACCAGCGTCAGCCCTGCACATGAAGTCAGCCTGCATGTGAACATGTGAGAGAGCCCTGGACCCCTGCAACAGCGAACAAGAGCAACATAACTTGAGGGAGCTCTCCATCATTGCACGGTGTCATGCGTGCAGTGCTCAGCGGTTACAAGGAAAATGCGCTGAACTCAGAGTCAAGGGTGTCCAAGCTGGTGGATGTTCTGGTGCTGGCAGCTAGCCCACCCGACGATGATCGCAACTTTGGAGGACCTGCACATGGGATTCGGTCGAGCACTGCAAACGTCCCCTAAGCTTAGCTACTCACCTTTAAGGACCATACGGGCTTATAAGGGCTCAATTAACGGATACTTGGCTTGTATCACTTTCTAGGTGGTCTCCTTAGATTCTGGCATAGTGGTGAGCATAGGCAACTTTTGAGTAAGGATCGAATTCGGACAACCACACTCAAGGGACTTAAGGACCCCAACTAGAACCTTTTTTCTCAGTCCCTTGAGCAAATACCCTAAACCCTGAACTCCTAAACCCTAACCGTTAAAGGACCCGAAACCACCCGCTAACTAAGTCTCCTGACCTACCCTAAACCCTAAACCTCTAAACCCTTAAAACGGCCCCAAAACACCTACTTACAAAGTCCAAGTAAGCCCTGAAACTCTCGGCTCCATACCCTTACAGGACCCCAAACCACTTACTTAACTGACAAAGTCCCCAATCAGCCTTGAAACTCTAAGCCAAAACACCCTAAAGGGCCCCTCCTGAAGCGCCTACTTACTAAGTCCTCTGAGCCCTTGAATATACCACCCTAAACCCTAAACCCTATGCCCTGAAAAACTTAGGTGTTCGAACTTGCTTTCCAAGAGCAGACTGCCGATCGACAGCTCTGGCAGAAGGCAAGCAAAGTGGTCTGATTAGACTTTTAGGGTTTAGGGGGTTTAGGCTTTAGCAAAGTGCTCTGATTAGGTTTTACTTAAAGCCTCAGCGGACGCAGGTTTAGGGTTCCTTATTTTGAGGGTGCTATAGGGTTCTATAATAGCGCTCCCTTTTTGGGTTTGGGGTTTAGGGTCTACTTGAAGGCTCATGGGACTTAGTAAGCAAGGGTATAAGTAGGTTGTAAGAGGGGAAAACCCACTTAGGGAACTTATAACCCCAGTTATAACTTACTTACTAAGTCCCATGATCCTCTAAATAGGGTCCAGGGTGGTTTAGGGATTTAGGGATTTTAGAGGTTTAGAGTAATTCTGGGTTTAGGGTTTGGGGTGCTGTACTGCCAATATGGTAAGGCCAATATCCGGACTCTAATCTGTAGCTAAGCCCCCATATTTGTACAGACGGGAGGCGGGCGAGTATAAAAAGAAGGCCTAACATATAGGGTTCTATGTCGGGGACATACTCTGGCCTCATTCCAATTGGAACCCAAAACCCCAAAATCCTAGCCTACACTTAGAGCTCAGGGGTTAGGGGAACCAGGTGCACCCGCAACATTGGCAGTAGCTCAAGTGAGGCATGGCTTTCCGGCTTCGGGGTGTGGGTGTCAGGTTTAGGCTGTGGAGTTATACAGGGACCTAAATAACTAAGGCTACAACTCCCTAGGGTTCCTTCTGATAGATATACCGTTTTCTAAATCCCCTCCAACACCCTATTCCACTTATAAATGCCCCTGCTTTGCTAGGTAACTTGGTCGCTGGCGGTTTAATTGGGGTTCGACGGGCTTCAAGCAAGCTGCTATGGGCTGCTTTTGGGTTTCAAGCCCTACACCCTAAACCCTAAAATTGAAGATTTGCGATTGTGGGGGGGGGCACCAGAATCCTAAACTCGCTCGAAGGCTCGTGGGACTTGGTAAGTAAGGACAGAAATACAGTTATTATAAGGATAAGGATATCCCCACTTGGGAGACTTATCACCCGCATAGTAAGCTACTTTCTCATTCCCTTGAGCCCTTTGTAGAGCCTAAATCTTACGCCTTCACAAAGCCCTAATACCCTAAAACCCTAAACCCTAAACCCTAAACCCCTAATACCATAAAACCCTGAGACCCTACCGCACTGACAAGACCGCAGGCCCTCACGAGGTCTAGGGTTTCAGGGATGTAGGGATTTAGGGTTTAGGGTTAATTAGGGTTTAGGGTTTAGGGTTGAGGGTTTAGGGTTAATTAGGGTTTAGGGTTTAGGGTTACCCTAAACCCTAAAGCCCCAGAAACCCACGACACTCAAATCTGTCAGCCCCGATCGGCCGCAGGCCAACAACAAAGCAGTGCAAGCCTCAGCGCTGCAAAGCGTCCTTCGTCCGTTTGAACGTCCAGCCTTGAGTCTTTTCTGTGGTTTTGGGGATTAAGGTTTGAGAGCTTTGGGGGTCCTTTGGCGGTTGTGTGTAGTGTGTTAAAAGTGCTCCCTAGCCCATTCGCGATGCTTAGGTTTCAACAGCCTGCTCCGACTGGAACAATTAGGGAGATTCCTTCGGGTGTAGGTTTAGGGCCAGGACTAGGACTGCTGCTACTGCTGCTGTTGCTAGCAAATCCGTATCAGGTAGAACCAGACAGTTGGAGCATCATTAACCTTTGTCCTCTTGCCCATAAGGTAAAGTATAGGGCATCCCAGCGCTAATCATCCTACGGTTGATGGTAGAAATCCTGCATTACCCATAATAAAGAATACACCATAATTCCCATAGTTTAGGGTCCTTAAGGTAATGCAGGATTTATATCATCCACCGTAAATCCATGTTCCAACCTTCTGGGATTCACTTTAGTGTTCAGCTAAACCCTGAAGCCTGGACCTTCGTGTGCGAAAACGTTCCAAAGGCCTCCCCCCCTAGGCTTTTAGGGTTGAGAGTTTAGGGTTTAGGGTTTAGGGTTTAGACCATGGGAAGCTTCGAAGCCTTTAAACCCATCAGCAGTTTCCTGCTTTGCTGCTTTAAGTTCCCCGAGACGGGTTTAGGGTTGAGGGCATCCCAGTAGCCTACCTCTTTAGGGTTCGTCCTTCTGATGTCCTTACACATGACTTTGTCAAAGAAGGCTTCTGGTGCTGCGGGCTAATTAACGGTGGACTGGCTTTGGGGAGTCTCCGTTAAATAATGATGGTGATTGATATTGAAAGTTTTTGTTTTAGGGTTTAGGTTATCGTTGCGTTTACATTGAAAGCATTTGAGGGATGAGGGCACTTGGCATCGGGGCCGGGTTATGGCCGGAGCCTCCTTCGATGCCGTAGGCCTTAAACTCTAAACATTAATCCACTTTTAGGGATTTCGTAGAGAACCACCCTGAAACGTCCGAACACTCTATGCACAGGGGCGCACATTACACTTCGTGGGCTTCTATCTGTGAGAGAGGGATGGGGATCAGGAAGTTCGGGGTCACTTTCCATTGGATCCTTTTGTGGTTATTGACTTGACGGCTTCAGGGTTTAGGGTTTAGGGTCTGTATCAGGGTCCCAAAGTTTCTGAGAAAATGTAAGGAAAGGTTTGTGCTTTTCAGGACCTGGCTCTTGAAACGGAGATTAAACATTCCATGTGAAGCCTGCTCGCTGCCCCTAAACCCTGCTGCCCTCAGAACGCAGCTTCTCGTCTAAGCAGTAGGAACCTTGCCAGGAAACCTGCCAGAAGCCAGAAGGAAATCTATAGCAACCAAATCCTAAAACCTCCATCAAGCACATATTGACTTTTACAAGCCCTTCAGCCCAAAGCAGAGCGGCAAGAATCTCTCCAGGTCTACTGGGATCCCGCCGGCAAAGAAGTGCCGAAGAGGACTCTTGCAGCCACGTCAGATTGTTGGCTTCATCCCAGGGAGCCCAATACCCCTCAATTAAGGATTTTACCGTGCATTATCAGGGGCTTCAGTGTTATGGTTTCAGGTACATTCCTTACTTTAGGGGTGAGTTCTTCAGTTAGGGTTTGTGGTTTTGGGCTGGGGTCCTCACGCCGATGATGAGCGCAGGCCGGATGCTGCGGTGTGGTCGCTGGACGTCGTAAACCAAGCCCCAGAGAGCCCAATACCCCATTAGACTCCCAGACCCCCTTTGGAGGATCCAAAAAGTAGATCCCTTAATGGGGGCTCCTATAAAGTAGTATAGGGGATCTACTTTCTAGATCCTCCCGGGGGTCTGGGCTATAAGGGGCTTCATAGTCCGATTTAACCCAGATTCCTGAATGAAGGGGTCTTGGGCCCTCTGGGTCCGGATATTGGCCTTACCATATTGGCAGTACAGCACCCTAAACCCTAAACCCAGAAATACTCTAAACCTCCAAAAACCCCTAAATCCCTACACCACCCTAAACCCTATTTGGAGGATCGTGGGACTTAGTAAGTAGGTTATAACTGGGGTTATAAGTCCCCTAAGTGGGGTTATCCTAATTATAACCTACTTATAACCTTACTTACTAAGTCCCATGAGCCTTTAAGTAGTTGGTGCTGCACATCAATGAGGTTGCAACCCCTGCCACGTGACTCAAGTAGATGTTGCGGCAAGCACGTACCTGAGCAGCCTCTCACCACTGAGTGCGTAGCTTAGCAGCGCCTTCATTTTAAGAGATGCGGTTTAGGGATGGATCGGTTTCTCTCGGGTCGGGGTTTCTGTTTTAGGTTTCCCTTCTGCAGTACACAGTACTCTTTACTCTTATTATCTAGGCGGGAATCGTTTCTGGCCTTCCTGCGCATCGATCACCCTAAACCCTAAACAATGAAAGATGTTATTCCATGCTTGGGCAGGGAAGCTGAAAGCCCAGGACTGCAGCACCAGAGTCCAAGCTCATTTTATGGTCTATCTTAACCTACCAAAACCTACCTTTTTTGTAGGGTCCCTATAAATTCCTGTTTGGAGTATGACAAGAGCCTACAAAAAGTAGGTTATGGTAGTTTACGGTATGTTTTGGGTGCAGGATCACAGCACTTGGATACGCTTGCTTACGGACCATGGCAGAAGGGGTCACAAGGAAACTTAGCCCAGACCCCCGCGAGGATCTAGAAAGTAGATCCCCTAATTTGGGGCCCTACTAAGGATACTTTATCGGAACCCCCAGTAAGGGATCTACTTTTTGGATCCTCCCGGGGGTCTGGGTAGTTAAGGAGTATACCTTAAATCATATCAGGAGTCCTACTATAGTTTAAGGTACATTCTTTCTTAAGGGATATTGGAGTCCCTGGGTAACTTGCGGGCCTAAGACCCTGAAACCCTGAAGCCCCATTCCCGAGCACGACTCTGGTGATATTGCTCTCCGGGGCCCCAAAGGAATGCTTTTCCTAGCTTTCCAACCCATGTGAAGACGTTATATAACCCGTACTGCTGATGGACAAAATCCTGCATTGCCCTTTATAAGGAATAAACCATAGTTCCCATAGTTTAGAGTCCTTCGAGTCCTTAGGGACATGCAGGTTTTTGTCCATCAACAGTATCAACTCTTTAAACACCCATTGAGCTGCCTCGTTGGATGCAGCCAGTGAGGGCTTAGGGTCGAGGGCTCTAGGATGAGCAGCATCGTTGGAGGGCACATCTTCAAGGCCATGAAAGCACAGGGTATGGCATTTGAGAGGTCTATAAGGGATCTATAAGGGTATATACTATAACATACGGGCCTTAATAATTACCTAGGGTTCCCTTTTTAAAGGGATACTATCGGAACTTGAGGTCAACAAATCGTGTGAAGGTTGTTGGGGTTTAGGGTTTTGGTGTTTCGGTTTGAGAGTTCGAGAACCATTTGTAGCACTGGACGCATCGGCCCTAAAACTGAAACTTCACAGCAAACGACCCTGCGAAGCCAATACACATGCCGGAATGGCCCCGCAGAGTTTGGGATGCCGGCATTGACAACGGAATGAGCAGATCAATGAAAAAGCGTATCCGCTCCCTCCGAGGTAAGCCCGTAGGAACCCCATTACATCGCACGCAATACTGCTTATTTACGGAATTTAGTTTATTTTAAGAATATGGAGCGGGAATATTTAGCGTTTCATAGTTTACTGTATATTCCTCAATTACAGGTAGTAGACTGACACCCCAAATCCTATCCTCACTCATAAGGCCGCTAAGCTGCAACCGGATAAGCCCTGATCAACACCCTTACAGAACCCGCAGCAGCATGCTTACCCAGACCCCCGCGAGGATCCCAAAAGTAGATCCCTTACTGGGGTTCCTATAAAGTACCCTTAGTAGTATCGGGGCCCAAATTAGGGGATCTACTTTCTAGATCCTCCTGGGGGTCTGGGTACAGGAGCTAGAAAACCTTACTTGAAGGCTCATGGGACTTAGATGCAGGTGCTAATTAGGATAACCCCACCTAGTCGACTTATAACCCCAGTTATAACCTACTTACTAAGTGCCATGACTCTTAACACTAGAACCCTAAACCCTAACCCCCCAACTACAAATCCTAGCCCGGAAACCCGAAAACCTAAACCTCATTTCCTAAGCCCTAAAAACCCTGACCCCAAACCCTAATCCCAAATCCTAAGCCCTGACACCCGAACCCTTAAACCCCTCTTCTAACAGTTAGTATAAGGGCCTAAATGATTACCAATACTATTTTGGGTGGTTCCTTATTATAATTCTAGTATAATGGGCCCCAAAACCCTATTCTAATTATCATGCCCCTATACTATATCATAGAGCCCCACTCGAGATCCCTTATAGACCTCTTCAAGGAGCCCTTTTAAAGGAACCCTATTCTAACTATTAAGGCCCCTGTGATACCGCAACCACAGGACCCTGCGAGCCAAACCTGCAGAGCTGAAAAGTCTGGAGGCGACACAAAGCCGGGGGTTTCGGGGTTTGGCTACAGTAGGGGTCTTTGGGTTTAGGGGTTAGGGGTACCTTACTTGGGGTCCTTATAATAAGGATCCTACTATTAGGGTCCCCTATATTCGGAAAGTCCCATGTACAGTAGAAGCCCAAAAGTTGGAAACCCCATGGCCTCGATCCTGAAAAGTAATGTAGAGGGAATCCCAGCGCTATTTGGCCTTAATCCGGTTTCCAACTTCATGGGGTTTACTAATTATACATCCTAAACCCTTTTAGTACCCTTATAGAGCCCTTTAAAGGAACCCTTATAATCCCCTTTAAAGGAGCCACCTAGTCTGGGGTTTACTGTAGGGGTCTTTGGGTTCAGGGGTTTTGGGTTTAGGGGTTCATTTATTGCTATGCTCAAAGCTAAACGCAATCCGTGTAGATCAACCCCAAGCACCTCGGATGCTGAACCCTCAGCATACCTTAACCTACCAAACCCCCTGTAAATTGCATATCAGGGTTTATATAATAACAGCCTACAAAGAAGTAGGGTTTGGTAGTTTCAGGGGTCTTTGGGGGTTTAGGGTTTGCTTTAGGGTTTCGGGTTTAGGTTTTCAGGGTCTTTGGGTTCAGGTTTTTGCGGTTTTTTGGAATCAATGGTTTTTCAAGAGACTTGGCAAGTACCTTCTAGGGAAGGTGAACGAGTCAGGATAACCTCACTTCGGGACTTATAGCCCCAGGTATAACCCGCTTACCCACTCCTGAGGCATTGGGTACACCACAGAAAACTGAACGATGAAAACAACCCCAAACCCTAGATTTACCAGGTCACGACCATACCTGGGTTATAGATACAGCTACATGTTTAGCTCACAACCAGAAACCCCTCCAAACCTGAGCCCTGCTAAAACCCGTTAAAGGCCACCTTACAGGAGTCTTACAAGACCCTACAGGAAGGCCCCGGCACTTAGTTAGTAGGTTATAAGTAGGGTGAAAAAGCTAGGAGAACCCCACTTTGAGGAGTTATAACTCCAAGTATAAGCTACTTAAATAGGGTTTAGGGATTTAGGGATTTTAGAGGGTTTAGAGAAATTCGGGGTTACTATCCCTGGGCGTCTGAGTAACACCCTGAACCTCCAAGCAGGACCGGTTCGCAGCTTCCGGCCATGCTGTGGCAGACAAGCTATTGACGGCCCCTGGGCTTCCTAGTAGTCGTTAACTTTTTTGGGGTAGTATAGCACCTATATAATCTTTATATAACCAAAACATTACCCTTGAGTTCCCCATGATACCCGACAAGTAGGGCTTGCGACTTTCGGATTCGAAGTTCTCCGGTGTACTTAGAGGCCCGGGCGACTTAGTAAGTAGTTTATAAGCAGGGTAAGATGTACCCTAAGTGGAGCTACCCGAATTATAACCCTACTTGTAACCGAGTTACTAAGTCCCCTGGGCCTTCAAGTAGGGTTTAGTGGTTTAGGGGGTGTGCGCATGGTTGATTTGGAGGGCTGCCGTGTCGGTCTCTTGCTCCTCGCTCTGTGTTGTGGCTTCTTCGGCTCTAAAACCTACTTAGAGGATCATGGGACTTAGTAAGTAGGTTATAATTGGGGCTATAAGTCCCCTAAGTAGGGTTATCCTAGTTATAACCTACTTACAACCATACTTACTAAGTCCTATGAGCCTTTAAGTAACCTCTCGGGGCGATCCACGGCTTATTTGGGGTCCCTCACATTCAGAAGCTGCCATACAGGGAGCTTCAGCACTCAGTTTGTCATTTCCTGACGCAGTTCTCGCGTAGTTAGCGGAAAGCAGAAGCCCTTGGAATCCCCAGAAGACCCTGAAACCTGAATCCTGGAAAACGTGAGGTACTACGTAGACACCTTGTTGAGGGATCTGAGATCTGAAAGACAGTGACAGAACCCCATAAATGCGTATCCTAGCAGCATGGTTAAAGCAGCCTTTGTCAAGGGTTCCGCTTGTGGGAGGTCCTGTAAGCGTCTGGAAGACAAGCAAGAGGAGTTCTGAGCCTTCTGTCCACCAAGGAGAGAAGCCTGAAGCAGCTCAAGCGATTTCTTCAGGCGGGCTGCTGCCAAGCTTCTCTTGCGCGGCTGGCTAGGGCTCACCAACCCCCAAACAGTGTGGTACGCACTATACACCGCTATCGTTGGACGTCAAGAGGATTGGCTAGTCAGTGCTCGCGAACGGCGCATGCATGCCCCGTCGTGCGTCTTTTTTTATGATGCGGTGTATGTTTCGTGTTCGCGTCCTATCAGATTTACAGAGAATCCGCTGAAAACCGTTTTGCAGAGACCCGCCTTCGTAGTAAGTTCGAAGAGTTTAGTGGCCTTGAAATATGTGAAACGCAATCCACCCTAAACCCTAAACCATCCCACCAGAATTTGGGGCGGGGCCCTAAACGGACTAGTAGGTCTTGAGGAGGTCGGAGTTCGGTTCAGGGGTGGGGGGGTTAGGGCTTCAGGGTTTATGGGCTTAGGGCTTTCAGGGTTTAGGGTTTGGGGTCAAAGGTTCAACTTGTGGGGTTTAGGGTCTACAGTTCTGGAGCTCTAAGACTCTAAAAAGGATCCTAACTGGGGATACGATACGTATCAGTCTATAAGATAGCTACTTCTAGGACCTAGAGTAGGCCCTCATTCCCCTTTTCTGAGGATTCAGGTTCCCTTGCAAGCCCCTTTGGCCCAAAATGTGCACCCTTTTTATTCCTAGGTTACTCTTGGCTCTAGACTTACTATGTCCCCCGACTCCAAGTAGAGGGTTTCGTGACATCTTACATTGGGTGATCCTCCTCCCATCTCGGCTTCGGGGACCCAGAGAGCCCGATACTCCCCTAAGTAAGGAGTATGATGTAGGGGTCTTAATAATTACCTATACCATGTTTGGGGGGGGGTCCTTATTGTGAATATAGCATAAAGGGCCCCAAAACCCTACGTATTCTAGTTATCAAGGCTCCTACAGAAACATAGAGTGCAGGGGACTTGATTATCAAGATTTAAGGTATGTTCCTGCACTACTTGATGACTCAATAAATATTGGACTTTCTGGGTAAGGCCCGATGAACCTGCATGACACGTTTCTTCTAGGGGCGTGAGAAGCTTCTATGAAAGCCCCGGTTGAAAGCACTCTGCAAAACCGGGTTAGAGCGGGCCCCTGTGGACAAGGTTGATGTGGGAGTTTCCGAAAATTAGGGGTACGTTATTTTGGGGGTCCTTATAATAAGGACCCTACTATTTAGGGTATCATACTAGGTCCCCTGATTTCAGAAACCCCATATGCTAGAGGTGGACGCAGCAAGCTGGGTCGCTAAACGCCACAACCGTGTGTTGGCAGCTTTACTCCAGCTGCGAAGGGCTCAGCGGACTTAGTTCGTAGCCTAATGGGTGGGGTTATAAGAGCCCTAAGTCTGGTTATCCTACTTATAACCCTGCTTATTCCAATTGTAGCCTTTGCTTTAACCTTATTTATTACTTGGTACCACCCTACTTATTATCCAATTCTAGCCTTAGTCCTACTAAGTCCTATGAGCTTCTTAAGTGCAACAGTCATCCAGCAGCACGAGGAGATCGACCCGCACCCCTGGCCGTGGAAGCACCCAGAGAGCCCAACAAATCCAGAGGCTCCAATCTCCCTTGATTACTTGAAGGCTCATGGGACTTAGTAAGTCAGGTTATAAGTAGCTTATAATTAGCATAACCCCACTTAGGGGACTTACAACTCCGATTATAACCTACTTACTAAGTCCCGTGATCCTCTAAGTAATGAATGTTCCTTATATCATACGAGGGATCCTGCGATAGTTGAAGGTGTATTCCTTAATTAAGGGATATTGAAGCCTCTGGGAAGGAATATAAAAGCAACATACGCAGCCCATTATGAATTATAAATGTGAAGTATAATAAATAGGAATTATACCATAAAGTGGGAGTCATTTGAATGCTCCTTTACGGGCTTTTCAAGGTTTGTGTGGGGCCCATATACCCCTTAATTAAGGAATATAGGTTAAAGCATTGTATGAAGCTCCTTATAATGATAACGTTGAGGTATATTCATTAGTTAAGGGGTATTGGGCTCTCCGGGAGGACAATCTGGGTTCTGGAAGGATCCAGTATGAAGTAAAAATTTCCAGTAGGAAGGAAAAGTCTTAACTGTTTTCTCCCTGGTTACTTCAAAGCCCAGCAATAGGTCGGAGCTACGGTAAACCGCAAGGCACACATGAACCTCAAAGCTCTGGATTGACGGCTTAGCGTCTCGCACAATGGAGTCGTCAACTACAAGCCACTGAGCAGTCAGGCTTTGACCCAAACGAGTCTAACCGAGCCTTGCAGCAGGCGTCCACCTTCTACTTCTATCCTCGTGCATCTGTCTTGCTTTGTTTTGCAGGATCTGCGGTCTTGCAGGTTTAATTCGGGGGGCTGAACTTCGTAGCCGAGAAGGTAAGATTCCGGATTGAGATAGATATAACCCCGCCATGTTATAAGCACAGTTTGCTTTCAGGGCTCTTGTGTTCAAGTGAAGGCTTGGATGATAAAGGTTGATCCTACTAGTAACCTTTGGTCGCCCGAAATCCATAATTCCGAAGCCCTCTCCCCCCCTAACTCAACGTACGAAATCCCCAAACTTCAACCCAGACTCCCAAACCGCAAGCACTGGAAAAGACACAAAGGGTTCCTGGAAGGGGAGCTTCATCTTCAGGCCTGACTACGTACAAAGATTTCTTCCTCAGGGCTCCTTCGTATATTTGTACTACCTGGACCCTAAGGAACCTGCCTTTGTAGGGTTCCCTAATATGATTTCTTTATATAAGTCCTTAAAGAGGTAGGTTACTTGGGGTTAAGGTATACTCTACCTCATAAAATCTTCTTCTACTTATCAAGGCAACTAAACTGCGGCTGCAGTGCTCTTGGAATTCTTCTTGGAGTCAAGGCTTTCGGGTTTAGGGCTTCGGGTCTAGCCCTAAACCCTAAACAACCCTAAGTCCTCGTAGTAGAGGAGGTAACCTTTAAATTTTTTGGGGGATAGGAAAGTTCCTATATAACAGCTCATGATTCGGGCACGTCCTTGGCTCGTGCTGACAGGAGTTTTCATCCGCTTGCGTAGCAATTGTGCAAGTGCGCCGCTGACAGCATTTGTACATGAGATCCAAAACGAAAGCTGGCCACAAAGCGAGTACGATGCATGAAGCCAATCAGGTGGCCTTCAGGAGTTCCTGGCCTGTCACTTGTTTTAGCCGCCCCAGCCCTGAAGTTGATGCTCTGCCTGCAACATTGGAGGTCCAGTGGCTTTACCCACCTTTTCTGATGAGTGAGCCGCCGCTTGGAAGAGTCGAAGTCGGTGTAGGGCTATGACAGGGGTTTGGGTTCTCAAGCCGAGTGACCCTTGCTGGATTGTCTTGTCGGCGAAAACTCGGCTCAGCTGAGATTGTGGGATTGGACCATGGAGGATGTCGCTGAAGGCAAGCCTTCTCGATGTTGCATTTTGGGAAGGTTGTTGCTGTAGTATTCAGATCGTACTTGTGTAATGTGTCATAAAGTTAAAAACAGCATATATACATCTTGTGGTTTCCACTAGATCAAGCGGAGGGTTGAGACGGAAGGGGGGTTCTCTGAAATGGAGTGAACCCTCAACCCTCAGCAGGCCCTGAACCAACAACCCTGAAGGTCTAAAGCGTCGGCAAAGTGCTCTTCGTTGGGTGTGCGTTGTATTTGAACGTTGGAAGCCGCGACGCGCGATTCTTTGGGTCACGATTCATTGTAATTTATAACACAACAATCTGTTACGGATGCGGCGGGCGGGTCCCCCATGCCTCGGGTTTTCCGATCACGGGGGATCGTGCGACCTCGACGACCCCTCTGTAAATTCCAAAATGTAACCCCTCATCGGCCCTCCACCCGAGAAACCCTCGCGCTGCGTACAGACTCTGTTTCTCGAGTGGTCCAGAGCGGGAGGCTCATCGACGGCCGCCACTGGTTCAGGACGCTGTGCAACTTCGTGGCTGTTGCAGGGTGGAGGCATGCATGCAGGTGGCACCCCTCCGTTCTCAAATTCGTGAAAAACCGTCTGCCACAACTGTGGTTTGGTATGGATCATGCTGGACTCATGGAGATCCTCTACGCAAGCCTAGACATCCTAGTCGTCTTCCCTGGACTTTTGGCGCTTCCGTTGGTCTCGCCCATCTTTGCACACACCTGTCAGGATCCCTCTTCGGAGCAGGCTCCGGCACAGGCAGCTTCGTCTTGCTACCACCCCTGCAGTCCTTGCTAGCTCAATGTAGAAAGCCAAAGGGGGAGCAACGTGGCTGCCAGCCCCACTTTCCCCCTCTCCCACCGAGCTATTGCGTGAGCTTCTGCGGTACGGTCGGTATTTGTTGCCTTGTTGATCTCGAGAATATACTGTCTCCATCCACCGCAGAGATGCTGGCGAGCTTCAGATTTCAGTACCAGCCCAACATAAATTGTGGTAGTTTTAGATCAACCACCAGGACAGCCAGAGTTGTAATGTTTCGTCGTTGTCGTCGCCTCGGACCGAGGCAAGACGAAGACCAAAGCACCTGGAGACCAAAAGAGTGGAGTGCAGCTGCGGGCTCAGCGGAATGTGTCCCGTTCGTCTTGGGGACGTAACCACGTGAGGGCTCCCCCAGCAGTACGCCGTGCCCAACCCTATAATGGGGCTATATAATGGGTACATAATAGCTATATTAAGGGTATATAATAGCTATATTAAGGGTATATAATGGGTACACAATAGCTATATTAAGGGTATAGAGCCAGACGGGACGCAGGACTCCCCTTGAGCAAGTACATCAAAAAACGGTTGCTGAGAAGGGGAGCATGAAACATAGCTTGCACTGTTGGACTGATTTGGCTCAAGCAACATCCCACACACACCAAGTGTGCCTTTTGGCTTGAACGACGGGATGTGTGTTCAGGGACCTGCTGATCGAGGACGCACGACTGCGGCTGGAAACAAGGCTTCTCTGGATACCGCTGCAGCGTTGGCGCGGCTTGCAGACGTGAAGATAAATGAGGCCATGAGCGCTCAGGCGCAGCAAGCCGGTCAAGACTGGTGGGATGAGAACGCAGGCTTTCCTTCAGCTCCTTCAGGGGCTTCAAGCTTGTAAGGGATTTTATAAGGGCCTGACTTCCCTGAATGAAAGAATCATACCTTAAATCATAGCGGGCTTCTTATTATGATTAACGTTAAATTCCTTTCTTAAGGGGGTTGGAATGTAGAAGGTTGCTGATTCTACTCATACAATCCAAGAATAAACCACAAATTCTTATTCCAATTATTCAGGCCCTTATACTACTTTCAAAAATACCTTGCTATATTCATTCTATCCTGTAATAGACCCCAAGAGCTTATCTTTGAGGATTCAGCCCCCTATGTTATGTGCCAGGTGGTGGCTTCCATCTCCTCTCGCTCCTAGAAGATGGCCTGGGGCCTACGGAAGATGAGAAGACTTATTTACTAGGTTCCTGAGTAGTACTCAAAGGCTCATGGGACTTAGTAAGTAGAGGGCTTAGGAGTCCTGTTTAAGGGTACTGTAGGGTTCTAGAATAGGTTCCCTTTAAGTGTTTAGGGGTTTAGGGTCAACTTATAGGCCCGTGGGACATAGTAAGTAAGGTTATAAGTAGGGTATACATAGGATATCCCCAGTTAGGGGACTTATAACCCCAACTATGACCTACTTGCTAAGTCCCATGATCCTCTAAGTACCCTATGCTAGCTGTGTAGGCCCCTAGAATACCCCTAATAGTCCCTCATATCATGCCCCCCCCTATACTAGGAGGAAAAAGGGTACCCTTATTTTAAGGGGCTACTCAGTAGCCTAGTTTAAAATCGGTGGAGCGTTTGAAGGGTCCTTTTGAAGGTCCCTTTCAGGCTCGGGTGTAGGGTTCTGAAGGGTATATGTACAGATCCGTAAAGGGTTGACATGGTTGGTTCTAGAGGGGCTGACATGGGCTCTTAGGGCTTGTGAGGGAAGTAAATCTTTGTAATGCTCCTGAAGGGTTCTACAGGCTGACAGGTTCTCAGGTTTATCGAACTTGGGGTTCTAGAAACAATGGGCGCTCTGGGAAACGGCCTGACTTGTGAGGGACTGGGGTTTTTCAGATGTGGCATCCAGGTCAGGGTCGCAAGCTTGTGACAGGTGTCGGGGAGGGTTTAGGGTTTAGGGTTCAGCAGCTTTGGTCGAGCAGTATCTAGTGGAGTTCGCTTTATGGAACATGGAATAATACCCACCCACACAGAGAATCCCAAAGCATTAAGAAAGACAAAGTTTCATCATTACCTTCAGCTTAGTTCAACACAGTCAACTTAACAAACATGCTTATGTGGTTATAGTTTCAACAGTACAAATACTTAAACCTTGAAGCCAACCCAGAGGTGCTGAGCCCTAAACCCCAAAGCCCAAACCCTAGGCCCTAAACCCTAAAGAAACCCGAAACCCTAAAGCCCAAACCTTAAGGCCTTAAACCTTAAAGCCCAAACCCTAGGCACTAAACCCTAAAGCCCAAACCCTAAAGCCCAAACCCTAGGCCCTAAACCTTACTAGGCCCCAAACTCTACGCCCTAAACCCTAAAGCCCAAACCCTAGGCCCTAAACCCTAAAGAAACCCCAAAGCCAACGCCCAAACCCCAGGCTGTAAACCGTCCTTTCGGCCCTAAACCCTAAAAACCAAGCCCTAGGCCTTAAACCCTAAAGCCCAAACCTAAACTCTAGCCCTGAACCCTAAAGCCCAAACCGTAAAGTCCCTGAACACCGGTCCCGGCGAAACGTGGCTGAACACCGACATTTGGGGCAAATTTTGGGGAAACACCCATATTGAGCCCCCCTACCCCCCTAAGGGTCCTTATGGCGATGCGATCTCAGAGTCCTCATTATAAGTATTAAGGCCCTAAACCCCCAAACCCCTAAACCCTAAACCCCTAATCCCTAAACCCCTCAATCCCTCAATCCCTAAACCCGTAAACCCTAAACCCTACCCCCCCTTAAGGGTCCTTATGACGATGGCGATCGGAGGTTTGGCTTCGCCTCTCTTAGCTCAAGTGGTCGACGGCCTGCGCAATGCCCTACCCAACATAGGCGCGTGGTCGCGGGGGTTCCTGAAAGGGCTCCTCAAAGGGCTCCTTCAAGGGCCCCATACAGGGCTCCTAGAAGGGTTCCTTGAAGGGTTCTTTAAAGGCCTGAAGGCGGTGGGATGTAAAGTTTTCGGCCTTCCAGAATCTTGCGAAACCGACCGGCTTCAGTAAAGGGCATAGGTTTAGGCAGAAGATTTCACCCAGATCCTCTTATACATTACGATTTCAGGTCTGGTCATTCTGAATGGTTGCCATCAGTTTTCCTTCAGGTTTCTTTGAGATAGCTAAATCAAAGTAAGCCTCGAAAACATCCTACTCTGGTGATTGAAGCCCCTGTAGAGAACCAAATAAAAGTCCTTCGAAACCTATTTCAAGAAGCCATGCTAATTCTTAAGACACTTAACCCCGCTATGTCCCTTTATTATGTAGGTTTTTTCGGCTGCGAGCAGGGTTTAGGGTTTGGTCCCCATATGACCTAATATTGTGAAAACCCGTCCAAGACCTTAAAGAAAAAGCCCTGTGCCAGTTGGCCAGCATCCGCTGACTGGGATCAAAGCGCCAGCCTCAATGCCTGATTTCCCAGAGACTCCAAGATCCCTTAATTAAGGAATATACCTTAAGTTATAGTAGGATCCCGAATATGATTAAGGTATATTCCTTAATTAAGGGATATTGGAGTCTCTGGGTTCCACGAGAGTGCTATACGGGGTATGATGATATAGGAGCCTTGATAGCTAGAACAGCGATTTGGGTTTGCTATTTCTAAAGCTATAGCAAGGATTATAGGGGAGGGGCTTTCTTTCTTGTTCAGGCCCTAAAGCTAGTTGCTTCGAGGTTCTTTGAAAATCGGACCATGAGGGTTTCAGGTTCAGGGGCTGCTTGATAAGGCGATTGTATTTGTGGGGGGAATTTCCTTGCACGTGTGTGTGAGCACAACTGAACTCAGGTACATATGGGCATTAAACCTTCAACTTCTTAGAAAGTCCTTCTAGGGCTCGAAAACGAGGTACAGACTGCACGAATCTTCCAACTCTTGGAGAATTTGTGTTGCTCTGGAGCTTCACAGCTAGATCGGACATGAAGAAACTTCGCTTGGGTTGGTTTAGGGTTTAGGGTTTCTTTGTTGCAGTTTCGGGATGTTTAGGGTTTAGGTTGGGGTGGAACTCATATGTCTCAGCCTTCGCGCAAAAGCTCATCGCAGCTTGGTGTGCAAACCTTGAGTTGTTTGTTCTCACTGACCCTGGTTTGTCAAATTCAAGTTGAGTGTTTGCATTTAGCTTTTCTGGGCCTTGGAACAGAACGAGTAGGAGTTCATGACCCACTGAAGCATGCTGCAGAAGCCACTCCGAAAGTATAGGTCATTGGTCACTAGTTCCACAAGTCACTCTCGCAAGCAAAAATGGCTGGTCAAAAGTTCAATCCCGAAGAAGTAGCCGAAGATCTTCCGAAATTCTAAACCCTAGAAACCCTAAAACCTAAACCCTAAACCCTAAAAGCCCTAAACCGTTAGACCCCCGACCCCGAGTCACGGAACCCAGCCTCACTCCCGGGATATATGAGTGGAGCCTCTACTTGAAGGATCGTGGCACTTAGTAAGTAGGTTATAAGTGGGGTTATAAGTCCCCTAAGTGGGGCTATCCCCATTATTACCCACTTATAGCCTTACTTATTAAGTCCCCTGCCCCTCCAAGTAGTCAGTTAGGGACCATAGCCTTAGATTGGAGTGCCTTTTTCAAAAAAAACCAATAACGCCAAATACCCTTGAGTTATTGAGGGACCTTCATATTATGACATATACAGGCTGTCTAAATAAAGGGTATTGGCCTCTACTTTGGGGGTTTGGGGTTCAAGGTTTACTTAAAGGCTCATGGGACCTAGCAAGCAACTACAAAGTAAGGTAAGAAATTAGGATAACCCCGCTCAGGGCACTTAGAAACCAACTATAAGCTACATTACTGCCCCCGAGCCCTGGAGTAAGGTTTAGGGGTCTAGGGGCAGCCCAATACCCCTTAATCAAGGAATATGCCTCAAACTAAAAGCGGCTTCCTATCATGATTTGCGGTAGATTATTGAGATAACGGGGTATTCGGCTGTCTGGGTAGGGGTGACAGTGAAAAACTAGGGCTGCAGCTGCAGTTTGCTCGTGGTTGTTCAGGGTTTAGGGTTTCTGTTTTCCAGCATGGACGATAGTCCTGGTGCGCTTTCTGTCCAGTTCGGGCTTTTGATGCAAAACTGCTATCATCGTTCCGACGTTGGTTTCCACTGCTGCACTTTACCTGCCCACAGAGAGCTACTGTTTCCTAAACCTTCTAAACCCGTCTGAACGGTCTTGTCAAGGACCCTACAAGCCCTTATACATGGTCTTATGCTAAAAGCATTGCTTGTAGTCTACTTGCTTTAAGTTTCTATTCTGATACAGGACCCTATATGGGCAGTTCTCCATTTGTTGTCCTTTTGAAAAGGATGTACTATGTTGGGCATTTAAAATGAAAGCCTAAATTTAGACTACTACCCGATATCAGCAGGCCTGGAAAGCAGACAACTCCGCGCTTCCACGCTCCGAGGTGGGCTAGCTCCATGTGATCATATCTCGTGTGTAGGGGTTTAAGGAATTTGCTCGACGTGAGCATATCTTCGGTGTAGAGTTTGGGGCTTTAGGGGTTCAGCGATTTAGTTCGATGTGGTCATATCTTGGGTTTCAGACTGTTAGCGCATTTTTGGCGGTTTGAGGTTCAGGGTGGGTTTCAGAACTGTTGCTTTGTTCGAGGTCCTTGTGATACCGAATAGGTCTGACTGCATTGCAGTATGATGTGAGCTTCCTACTTACAATACAAACGCCTTTTTTTCTAATAGCACGGTTCGTACTTGTTCAAAGTAGCTGTCCCCAAACCATCCATACGCTAACTTCCCTTTTTGATTCGGTTCTGCGTATCAGGGAGTATACTCCCAAGGGTTCTTCTTTCAAAAGCACCTGCAGAACAACCCCAGGTGCCTCCAGATTCATATTTCCGATGTCTCAAGCAATTCGAACAAGGTCGTCTCCTCGGCTCGAGGATTTAGGGCTCAAGGATTTCGGGCCCCTCTCGCAAACTTCTTGGGTTTGAACATAAATTCCCACAAAGAAATACGGGCGCGCTAATCAACCAAATAAAAGCCCTCGTTTTCTGCATCGTCGAACCTATCACACAAGGCAGAGCGCCCAGAGCTGGCAGAGGGCGCACACGATGCAGCGGCTGCGCGCCTAACTTTCTGTTCGGCATTAGTGCCATTGAAATTTGAGAGCCTTGCCGGAGGGTTCTATACACTTCTGCAGTCTCTTGCAGCGTAAGAGCATGTACAATGTGCGGATGTTTGGGTATTTTAAGTACATGTGCATGTCATATGATTGTAGAAGGGTTATAGAACCTCACGGCTCCGGGAGTTTGTGCAGGGGGATTGGCTTTTAGGGTTCAGGGCGCGGGGCTTGCCTGACTCCACTAACATGCCTGTTTTCTGTCTAGAGTGTCGGGGCTCTGTTCGCTTACATGTATAAAACGAGAACTGGTTGCTACGACTGCGACGACGACGACGACGACGACTACTACTACTACTGCTCCTGCTCATACTCCTGCTCCTGCTCGCAGCTCCTGCTTCTTCTCCTGCACATGCTTCTGCCGCTGCTGCTGCTGCTGATGCTGCTGCTGCCGCTGATGCTGATGCCTCTTCTACTGCTACTGCTATTGCTCTACACCACTGCTACGACTGCTGCTCGTGCTACTGCTGGTGCTGCAGAGCGCCGAACTGACACCATGAACCCTACACACTAGGCTTGTAATAATACGGCACCTAATATTTAGGGTACCCAAAAGGAACCCTAATTTTGACAACCACCCATATAGAATATAGGGGCCTGAACGATCGAAATGGGGCTTTGGGTACATTACAGAGTTACCGTAAGGAACCCCAAGCAACAATACTGGTAATTAGTTAGGCTTCTACATTGTGGCTTCTGTGGAATCAGACCTTCTTGTGAGGTTGCTTGCAGGTTAGGGCGTCTCTGTGAGATGGAGATTCTAGAGACACCTTCTCATGCGGACTCCGGAGCAAGAACCCCCTCCTAGAATTCAATAGTTGCCAACACTGCTGTGGAACGTTGTGGTATGTTCCTTGATGTCAGGGCGTGTATTCACAAGGGCTTAACATTAGCTCTCAGAAGCTGCGAAATCGAATGAGAAGCCTCTGATATTGTAGTAGTATGTTTTGCATTGCCCGGAGAGAAGCGCTGCCGATCAGTGGCTGTCATAGGCATGGCTCCCCCTGAGTTTAGAGGTTTAGGGTTTAAGGTTTAGGGTTTGGGAGTTTAGGGCTTAGGTGGTTAATACTGACAACCACCCATATGAGGTCAGTGTCCTTGTGTGGGTCGTGCCAGCCTCAGCGCTGCCCGAGGCTCAGCAGCTTTCGTGCTTTGCGAGGGAGATTCCGCTTTTTGTTAGGGCTTTGGGGTTTAGGGGTTTAGGGTTTAGGGGATTTAGGGTTTAGAGGTTCAGGCTTTGGGTTTGCATTGGTTTGCAGGTTTTTTGTGTTTCGTGTTTAGGGCAGGGGGGGGGTTCGGGTTTCAGAACTCTTTGCTCACTCTTGCTACATGAAGTCAGAAAAGCCTGACACGATCCACTACTACCACTACTATAGGTATACCACTACTACCACCACTACCACTACTACCACTACTACCACCACTACTTACTACTACTACCACTACTACTACCACTGCCACTGCCACTGCCACTGCCACCACCACTACGACTACTGCTACTACTACTACTACTACTACTACTACTACTACTACTACTACTACTACTGCTACTGCTACTGCTACTACTACTACTACCACTACTACTACTACTACTACTACTACTACTACTACTCCTTCTGCTACTACTACTACTACTACTACTACTACCACTACTACTACTACTACTACTACTACTACTACTACTACCACTACTACCACAACTACTACTACTACTACTACTACTACTACTACTACTACTACTACTACTACTACTACTACTACTACTACTACTACTACCACGACTACTACCACGACTACCACTACACTACTACTACTACTACTACTACTACTACTACTACTACTACTACTACTTCTACTACTACTACTACTACTACTACTACTACTACTACTACTACTACTACTACTACTACTACTACTACTACTACTACTACTACTACTACTACTACTACTACTACTACTACTACGACGACTCTTGCCTGCTCCTGCTATCACGCCAACTCCTCGGCCAAGGCATGCGCCTACGCCTATGCCGGCGCCTACTGCTTCTACTGCTTGTACTGCTGCTGGTTCTCCCTGTGCTGCCGTTGTTGATCTTATTGCTGTCATTTCTTTTACGACTTGAAGAAGCACCCTGCCTTTGAGGGATGGCTCCGCGGCCAACGCGTTGCAGTTGTACCCACGAGGCACCAGCTCTTTCCCTGCCTGGGGTTCGGGAGTCTTGGGTGCAGGCTTTGAATGCCGGCAGCCCCGACCTGAGCCAAGTCCCTGAGGGCATGAGGGCTCAGGGGATGTAGCACTATGTTATAGTTGGGGTCAGAAGTCCCTCCAGGGGGGGGGGGGGGGGGGTGTAATCCTAGTTATAACCGTACTTTCAAGTTATGAAGGCCCTTCAGCCTTTAAGTAATTCCTGAAACCTGAACCCCTAAACCCCTAAACCCTAAACAGCCTCATATTATGCGGAGGACGGCTCTGAGACATGGATCATTGCCTTGTGCAGCGACTCTTTTTAGAACTCGCATATATGAAGCAAAATATAGTGAACCCCAGAAAGTTGGAACATAGATTTAGGATGAATAGTGCTGGGATTCCCTCTACGTTACCTGAAGGGCATGAGGGCAATGATGTTCCAACTTTCTGGCTTCTACTGTAGACCAGGAGTTTAGATTTGTGTTTCTTGCTTGCCCAGAGAGAGACTGATAGCCCACAATGAAGGCATATAGCTTAAATCATAATATGAAGCTCCTTGTAATTTAAGGTATATTCCTTAATTAGGGGGTATTGGGCTCTCTGGGAACTTCACCGCACAGTATAAGTTGTAGGAAAAATCTGCTTTGCTAAGGAAATCCTGAACCGTAAAAAACTAAACCCATCCCAGGTGCAATCCCTGAACCGCCAATCCTAAACCGCAAACAAGAGTTCCGAGAATTAGGGGTACCTTGTTTTGGGGTCCTTAAAGGATCCTACTACTTGAGCTAAAGAATACCTAGGGTTCCTTAAGGGTTCCTTCAAGGGATCTATAAGGGTTACATAAAGGGTTTAGGGTTTAGAGTTTCCGAAAATTAGGGGTATCTGATTTTGGGGATCCTTATAATAAGGATCCTACTGTTTAGGGTACTATATTAGGGCCCCTCATTTTCGAAACTCCCAAATCCCACTGGAACGAACAATTCCTCCAGCATACCCTCTCGACTTTATTATTCTGGCTCTCCTGGTGTTCAAATTCAAACTCAGAAAACTTGTGCTCTTTGAACGCCTAAACCTGAAACCCCTACAGAACCCCATAGAACTCGCAAAGCAACCAACCCTCAACTTCAGGCGCGAACTGTCCCCAATCCTCAGCCCAGAAGCCCGCAAACCATGGAACTCTGAACCCAAAACCCTCCCTAAACCCTAAACCCTTGGCCCGGAAGCACTTAAATCCTAATGTAGGAACCTCATTAAGAAACCCTGGCCCTAAAACCCCCAAAATAGTAGGATTCATATGTAAGGAACCCTCATGAAGGCGCAAGGTTCCTTAATCAGGTTCCGACATTAAACCCTACTTAGAGGATCGTGGGACTTAGTAAGTAGGTTATAAGTTGGGTTATAAGTCCCCCTAAGTGGGGTTATCCCAACCATAACCTACTTATAACCCTACGTACTAAGTCCCATGAGCCTTCAAGTAGACCCTAAACCCTTAAAGGGAACCCCATTGTAGAACCCTACATAGTACCCTTAAAAGGAACCCTAAACCTTACTAACTCCCATGAGCCCTCAAGTAAACCGGGAAGGCAACGGCACAGAGAACCCGAAGCCCGAGCCTTCGGCGCGAATAAAGTGCGCATCCGAGTGTGCTCCTCTACGGAGTTTGGGGGTTCAGGGTGTGAGGTTCATGGCTAAGGGTTTGAGGTTTAGGACTTTGGCTTTGAGGTTTAGGGTTTACAGGGTGAGTTCGAAACGGCTCGGGTCCTACTGGAAACAACGAGTTCTGAGCAAAGTGGAAGTGTGAGAGTCAGGACTTGTGGATCTTAGATGGCCTATGGGAGAACTTCATGTTTTTTCTGCTTTATCTTACTATTGATATTGGAGGAGCTAAGGAGCCAGGGATGATGATAATCCCTATTAAATAAGGAGCTAAAGAGCCAAGGGAACCCCAAAACCACTGGCTAGTTATCTTTTTGCTCTATCTTAGAAACGGCTTGAAAATTATTGGAGCCGCTTGCCGCTTGTTGAAGAAGAGAGGGATTCGGGCACCGATGCTTCTCGCGATGTTCGAAGCCCCGGACATGCTGGGGCTCCACGGTTTAGGGTTTTGGGTTTTGGGTTTAGGGTTTTGGGTTTAGGGTTTTGGGTTTAGGGCCCGCTACATCAGAGTTCGTTCGCGCAACAGGGAAGAGCGAGTCAGAAGGGTTCCCTGAAAGGTTCTAATGCTAATAAGGGGTACCCAGAACCTCCAAAACCCCCCCTAGTTAAGGAATGTGAATACACTGGGATCCCTAGTACGATTTAAGCAATAGACCTAATTCAGGGATTTTGGGAGGTCCAGTAGCAATTATGGGCTATTGATGTAGTGGTGCCCGTTCGGCTGGGTAGCAAAACTCCAACTTCTGAAGCCACCGTAGTGACACTTGATGTTGCTGCACAACAGGTACGCTGCCAACCGCGCTGTCTTTTGGGGACAGGACATGGAGGCCCCACCCACAAGGATTCCTTTGTTGTATATAGTATACAATGTATTCAATACCCTGTTTTCAGTACGGAGGCCCTTATATGAAAGCCTATCAATATACCCCAAAACCTTGACAGCCTTGTACTTGGGTTGACAAACCACAAGCCCAGCTTTGAAGCCCCAAACCCTGTAGGCTTTAGGGTTGTTAGGGTTTCGGGCTTATTTGCTTTTGTGAAGGTTTTGTACTTTATGAAAGTCTCGCACAGACAGCGGTTCTGAAAGAGTGGGCTTGGCGCTTGTTCCGAATGAACCGGTCATTAGTCAATGCGCATTGCCGGTTGCTAAACCCCCTCCCCTCAATAAGAACCTTCGAAAAAATGGCAACTATAGCTTCTTTCGCTACGAAGCCCTGCAAAGTGAAGGCCCTAAACCCTAAACCCTAACGGGTTCTCAGAGCCTTATGGTAGGAAGTTTAGGATCCAGGGTTGCAGGAGCTCGGGGTCGACTTAAAGGATCATGGGACTTAGTAAGTAGGTTAGAAGTGGGGTTATAAGTCCCCTAAGGGGGGTTATCCTATTTATAACCTACTTATAACCCTACTTACTAAGTCCCATGAGCCTTTAAGTAGGCTGTCATTAGATTACAAAGACTCGCTGACTTGTCGGAACTTATAAGCATTGGGGTTTAGGGTTTAGGATCGTGAGAACTTGTGATTGAACGGGCCTCATTTGGGAAGTTCTTGGTAAAGCTGACCAGAAAAGGGACCTGGTGTTCGGAGGTTCCGGCGGAACCTGCACTCAGCAGCCTAGGTTTAATCCATCCCTTGACTACGCAGATGTTGAAGCCAAGTTTTCCCTCAACTCCAGACCCCTAAACCCTAAACCTAAAACCGCAAATCCACCACCGCCGAACCCGAAAGTACCAGGCACCGACTTAGCACCACCAGCCCTATCCGAAGTGACACCGCAATGCAGAAGCCTGAATATGGGTTCAGGGTTTGGGGTGTAGGCTAGGATGCCCAGTAGTACCATTATTCCCTTTTAGTAGTCCTGAAAAGGGAGCCCCTTTTTTATTCCTATGTTACTGTGCCTCCTAGTTTAGGGTTCAAGGCTCCGGGTTTAGGGCTGTAAGACTAAAGCCTGAACCTAGAGAGCCCAATATACCTTGAGTAAGGAACATGGCTAGATCTCAATATAAAGTCCCTGATAAATTACTTATTGGCTGAGTAGGAAACCTTTAACCGGAAACCTTCAGCCGTTCCGGGTTTATATAATCCTACTATAGTTGAAAAGGTTAGCATTTTTTGGGCTAGGGTACTCAGCCCCTAAGTAAAGGGATATTGCTTCATTAAGGGGTATGGGGCTTTCTGAGACTAATGAGTAAGACTAGTTACACTATAACATAACACCCCAAACCCTGTTCTAATTACAGTAAACCCCATAGAGTTGCAAACCGGATTAAGGCCACATAGTGCTGGGATTCCCTATACACTACTCTTAAGGATTGAGGCTATTGGGTTTCCAACTTTTGGGGTTCTACAATACATGGGACTTTCCGAATATAGGGGACCCTAATATAGAACCCTAGATAGTGGGATCCTTATTATAAGGACCCCAAGTAAGGTACCCCTGACTTTCGGAAACTCCGACATCAAAGCTTGAACCGAAGGCGCGGTGGGAGGGCCCCTCCTGGAAAACGGGATTCCTGGAGAGAGGCCTGTATACTCTCGGAGGGCCATGGGACTTAGTAAGTATATGGGTAGTTGCCAAAAATAGGGTCCCTTTTTGGTACCCTAAATATTAGGTGCCGTACTATAATAAGGACACAAAAAGGGACCCAAATTTTGACAACCACCCATATAAAGTTTAAGTATGTCAATGGGGGTTATTAGTATAGTTGCCTCATATTTGTGTGTAGAGGCATGTTCGGCTTCCGGAGACTCACGTTTTGAGCGTCTCCTGTTGGGTCAAGATTCGTCGGGAGTCTCGGGCCGTCTCGGGTTTCGCACGTGGCTTCGAAGTTTCGGATTCCGGAAGTCACTTCCTGCGCTCATCTGCTGCCAGCTGTTACTGAGATGTTCATAGCCCCGGAAAATCTTTCCTAAACCCCTACCTTAACCCCAAGTAACCTACCCTTGTTACGGACTTATATAAAGAAATCATATTAGGCAACCCTAAAGAGGTAGGTTCCTTAGGGTCCAGGTAGAGAGTCGATGGAATGGATGGGAGGCCTCCGAACAATATCCGGGGAAGCGAAGGGCGTTTCCGTGTTCAGTGTCAAACCCTTAAACCCTGCAGTGTTTCACGGTTCAGGGTTTTGGGATTTTGAGTGTCGGATTTTTGGAGGTTTGCGGATTGAGGGTTTAGCATGGGGTCTATGAAGGGGCCTAGGATTTAGCATCTACTTCTAGGTTCCTGAAGAGTAGTTGCGCTTTTGCCCTTTCTTTGGGAGGTCCCCTTATTAAAACCGAACAGTAGGAAAAAGGATACCCTTTATTGTAAAGTGCCTACTCAGGAACTTAGATTTGAATCCTCAAGAGACGCAGAAAGTGCTCTGAAAACAGAATCAACTCGACCTCGGGTTGTCAAAGACCAAAATCAAGACCTACTATGTGGGCCTAAGTAATTACCAGTACTATTGTAGGGTTCCTTATTATCGTCATGGAATGGTATATCCCGAAGCCCTGTTCCAATCATTCAGGCCCCTATATTACCGGCCAAACGCCTTGATGCCTAAACCCCGTAAACCGTTCGAGTTTTGGATAGGTTCTTAGAGGAAATGGCCGGGAAAATGGCTGCCGGGAGCAAGCGGACCACCGCTGCATGTTCAGCATGAACCAGCAAGCTGTCCTCATGCAACCTGTTAAGCCACGACGACCCAACAATTCTGTGCTGCAAGCCGGCCGCACGCCAAAAGCTTCCGTCTTTGCAATCTGCAAGTCCTAGGTTCAATGAAGATCTTCTTGCTGCCAATGATCCCTGAAAGGCGTGTCTATCATCTGTCGAACGCCACCCATTCCCCCTGCCACGACGGGCTCTCGTCTAGCAGATGCACCGCATCAGCAGCGTTGACCAGCAGCAGTCGTGTCTGCAAAGGCTTGACCGTGGACAAACTTGCCCGTGCTAAATCATAACCACGACTGCGCTTCTCGGCTCCTCTATTCGCACGGTGCTCTCTAGAATCTTACAGGTCTTATCGGTGCGGGGTGCTACACACTTGCAGCAGTTGGGTTTGTGTCATTAACACAACAATAACCAAGCGAGAACCTTCACCCCGACATCTTGAACATGGAACCTCGAAACCGCTGCCCGCGCTGCGGCAGATCGAACGCACAGCACCCCGACACGCCAAGACCCCTTAAACTAGTAATCATCCCTATACAAGGAACCCTCCTGTGAATTCCAAGCCTTGGAACTACTTCAGTTTTCTGACCCCGTAGCCCTAAATTTCCTCAGCTAAGGCCCTACACCCTCTCGCCTCTGACCATTCATTGTTTAATGAGTGTTTTCTACTTGAAGAGCTTTTGCAGCCCTTCCTCAAAGGATCTAACCATAAGTATAACCCCAATGAAGTACTTCTAAACTTACTTACATAGCCCAATGATCCTATGCGCAACCCCAATTCAGTACTTGTAACCTAGCATACTAAGTCCCATGATCCTCCACGTGGGAAAGGTATCCACCTCCTCTTCTCTTTCGGCACGGATCCCGATTGAAACTTCGGGTGTCATTGAAAATTTTGGGTTTCAGGATTTCGGATGTACTTAGAGGACTTAGTAACTAGGGTTCCTTAAAGGGCTCCTTTAAGGGATCTATATGGGTTCTACAGGGGGAGGGAGGAGATGAGGTGATACATCCTGTGTTACAAGAGAGACTGTGTTGCATCCTGGCTTGGGTTCTGAGAGCTTCTTTTCGAGCTTTAGGGCATGGGGTTTTTGGTGACGTTGAGCAGGGGATCTTCGGGTTACAAGTCTCCGAGGGCGCCAAATAGACTGTCGTCCTTAGGGGCCCACATAAATTACATACACTATCTTGGGGGCCTCCTTCTTATAAGTACTAGTATGGTACAATATACCCCCAAAATCCTATTCTAATTACTGAGGCCCCTGCACTACATGCGACGCCACCGACAGACCTTTAATTTTTAACGGTCCTTTATCGGACCGGCACATACCCCTGCTGCGTATCAATAAGCAAGACTCACCCAGACCCTTGGGAGGATCTAGAAAGCAGAACCCATAATTTGGGACTCTATACTACCAAAGGGTACTTTTTTGGGCACCCCCTTCTGGGATTTTCCAGAAGCAAGACGAGAAACATCTTCTGGGTCTCCCAGTGGGCCCTTTTTTTGGCCTTATGGTCCCTAACCTTAACCCCAAGTAACCTACCTTTTTAAGGACTTATATAAAGAAATCATTTTAGGGAACCCTAACCCCAAGTAACCTACCTTCTTAAGGACATATAAAGAAATCATTTTAGGGAACCCTAACCCCAAGTAACCTACCTTTTTAAGGACTTATAAAGAAATCATATTAGGGAACCCTAGCCCCAGGTAGCCTACCTTTTTAAGGACTTATAAAAGAAATCATATTAGGGAACCCTAACCCCAAGTAACCTACCTTTTTAAGGACTTATATAAAGAAATCATATTAGGGAACCCTAACCCCAAGTAGCCTACCTTTTTAAGGACTTATATAAAGAAGTCATGTTAGGGAACCCTAACCCCAAGTAACCTACCTTTTTAAGGACTTATATAAAGAAATCATAATAGGGAACCCTAACCCCAAGTAACCTACCTTTTTAAGGCCTTATATAAAGAAATCATAATAGGGAACCCTAACCCCAAGTAACCTACCTTTTTAAGGCCTTATATAAAGAAATCATATTAGGGAACCCTAACCCCAAGTAACCTACCTTTTTAAGGACTTATATAAAGAAATCATATTAGGGAACCCTAAAAAGGTAGGTTCCTTACAGGTACAAAAAACTCAAAAAGGGAGCCCTTTGACTCCGAGGTCCCCGGAGATCCTACTTGGAGGATCATGGGACTTAGTAGGGTTCCTTAAAGGGCTCCTTTAAGGGAAACTTTAGGGTTTAGGGAGCTATTATATAAGGGTTCTATAAAGGGGAGTTTAGGTTACTTAGAGGATCATGGGATTTAGAAAGTAGGTTATAATTGGGGCTATAAGTCCCCTGAGTGGTGTTATCCTAGTTATAAGCTACTTATAACCCTACTTACTAAGTCCCATGATCCTTTAAGTAGGTAGAAAACAAGATTAAGATGACCTTGCATGATAGAGGTCGGTGGTCTCTTTACCTGGGGTTTTCTCTCTTAAAGGGCTGCATAGAGGGATCCTTCTTCGGGCTATATTAGGCAGTATTAGGGACAGATAGAGAAGCCACCGGCCTGTTTAAACCTCACACCAAAGGAACTCCAGGCTGCACCTGGAACCCTACACTTGCTGTACATACGAGCCAGGCCACAAAAAAAAGCCTAAACTCTGAATTCCCTCACAAACTTGCATGAAGCCCGACAAAACTCCAAGAACGAGCATTCCAAACCAGAACCCGACAGAAAAGGTTGGACCTCGGAAGCATGCGAAGCTTAGCAATGACATCTGCCGCCACTCCTCGCGCCGCCGCCTTTGTGTGGGTTTCAGGGCTTGGGGCTCTGAATTGTTGGGGGTTTGGTGTTTCTTGGGTTCGGGCATCTGGGGTTTAGAGGTTCGGTGCGCGATTTGGTGTTTAGGATGCAGGATGCGAGAAGTTAGGTTTTGGGCCTGGGCGGGAGGTTTCGATCCCAGAGCCACAGGTCCCCCATTTTAATCCCCAGGAGGAGGAGGAGGAGGAGGAGGAGGAGGAGGAGGAGTAGTAGTAGTAGTAGAGTAGGTAACGTTTCACCTTTTTTGGGTAGTGTAGTTTTCTATTGAATCCCTATATAACCAAAAACCTTAAGCTTAAGTTCCCCATGATACCCGACGAGTAGGAATCTGGTGTTCTTGTTTACCTGGGTGGTTGTCGATGCCAGGCTCCCTTTTGGCCTCCCACTGGATGCCGTTTTTAAGAGTAGAATTATAGGGCAGTTTCCGAAAATTAAGGTACCCTATTTTGGGGTCCTTGTAATCAGGATCCTATTATTTAGGGTACTATATTAGGGTCCCATATTTTCGGTCCCCTAAAGCGCCTGAACCCTTAAGCACCTAAACCCTAAAACCCTACATAAACATCCATAAACCACCCCTAAACCCCTAAACTCTAAACCCTAAACCCTAAACCCTAAACCCTAAACCCTAAACTCTAAACTCTAAACCCTAAACCCTAAACCCGAAACCTTAAACCCGAAGCCCCGAAGCCCCTCTAAACTCCAAACCCTTCATCCATCGCTGGCGGAGGCTGGCCCGGGTCGGGATCCCTAAACCTACGTTTGATGATATAAATCCTGCATTACCTTAAGGACCCTAAACTATGGGAATTATGGTATATTCCCTATGGTGGGTAATGCAGGATTTATATCATCAACCGTACTTAAAGGCTCATGCGGCTTACTTACTAGTGCTGTATACGAGACTAGTGTACTTACAGCCCCCAATTGAGGTACTATAGGGGCCTTGATAATTGCCTATGCTAGTTGTTGGGGGGGGGGGGGGGTTGTGGTTAGAGGAAAATGGCCCCAAGGCCCTATTCTAATTATTGCGCCCCTTGTATTACTCATAACTTTACTCCAACGGTAAAAGGAGGGACCCTTAATAAGCACCCTAGGTATATACCCTTCATATAGCTGTTATATACCCATTATATAGCCCATTATAGGGTAGGGGTCCCCATTAAGGATCCCTCCTTTTCCCCTTTGATTTATCTGCAGACCAGGATCTTCCCCAACTAAACCCTGAAACTAACACTTGCCCGCTACGGTTGATGATATAAATCCTGCATAAGGGTTCCTTTTAAGGGATCTATAAGGGTACTTTTAAGGGATCTATAGGGTTTTAGGGTTTAGGGTTTAGGGTTGATGATCTAAATCCTGCATTACCCATAATAAGGAATATACCATACCTGCCATAGTTTAGGGTCCTCAAGGTAATGCAGGATTTATATCATCAACCGTACTTCAACGCTCAACGGATTTCGTAAGTAGGTTATATGAAAGAACAGTAAGCAGGAGGATAAGAAGTAAGGTTATAGATTAGGACTTAGGATAACCCCACTTAAGGGCTTATATCCCCAACCATAACTTGCGTACTCAGCAAGTACAGGAATGGACCTTAAACTATAGAAGGCTTCTTTTTCTCTGCTGACAATATCTTCCGCAGTTAAGTAGTAGTAGTGTTGTTGTTCAGCTGGTGCCCTTGTCAGTCCACCCGACCACCCGGATCGTCAGTGGGTTAGGCTCGGCCTCCCGAAGGACCTTCGAGCGCCCATGCAGCCAGCTGAGAGCTTTGCCCTGTCCGCGGAGAGAGGTCGAGCCCAGGGACTTCGCATGCTAAGCGCATACTCCCCCCCTGACCATACCGGCGCTCTGCGGATTATAATACGATATTTATTATTCAAAATAGCACTTCCGCAGTTAAGGCATGTTGAGCTGTCTGGGTCTGCAGACAAATTGATTGCTGCTTTGATTCCACCGCCTAGGCTCTCCGTTTGTACCTTTATGCCCTCTTTGCTTTGGGGTCTCCTGGTTGCAACTGAATCTCCGCACAAAGAGCACCTAAACTCAAGGCCTTGAGCCACTAAACCCCTAGATGCTAAGCCGAGGCCCAACGCGTCCGCCGCCACCGACGCCTCCGACGCCACCGCGATGCAGAGCGAAGACTCCACAAGAGATGAGCTAAAGCAGACATGTCCATCACCCACAGGCTCCACTGATATCGAGGTCTGAATAATTAGGAATCGTTTAGGGTTGAGGGTTTGGGGACGATATTATCCCCAGTCCTCCCTATACCAATTAGGTTTATGCAAACCCCATACCCTACACCCCAACCCCATCACCTGACCTATACCTTGCACTGTACATCTGCAATCCCATGCCCTAAACCCTTTAGACCCCTATCACCATAAACCCCAAACCCTCAAGCGAGATTGGAGTCTCTGGGCGGGCATAGCTGGAGTCTCTAGAGGCAGCTGAGGCCTGCATTCCGACTTGTCCAAAAGTCGAAGACACAGCCTGCGGAGACGAAGGTCCCACTACAAGGATTTAGGGTTAAGTGGGTTCAGGGTTTAGGGTTCTTGGGTTAATAATTTAGAAGCTGCCCCCACCCTGTAATAGTGGTATAATGGGAATATAATAGGGCCCTAATATAATCCTATATAATCCTTATGGTGGGGGCCCCTTCTAATTAATAACTTAAAGGCTCACAAAATGATTGGGCTCGGCCGAAGGAGTGCTAAGTTCTCAGTAGGGAAAGGGGAAATGGAGCCCTATGATAGTCTCTGAAGGGTCCCTCAAAGTAGTCCCTATAACATATTCCCCCTTTCCCTACTACTAGGATTCCCAGTAGTACCCTTACTCCCTTTTAGTAGTCCTGGTTCACTATAGAGTTACGCAATACCAAAAAGGAGCCCTTTTTATTCCTAGGTTACCCGGCATCCTAGACGAAGGACCAGACAGATTAAGGTGCACCTGATGTGAGGAGCTGCTGAGTCCTGGTAGTGAAAGGCTGTGGCCTTGTATACTGAAAGGATCATGGGACTTAGTAGCTAGGGTTCCTTTAAGGGTTCTATACAGGGGAGTTTAGGTTGTAAATTTGTATAACATCCCTTGAACCGCCAATTTTGCATATGAGCTGGACAGATATGTTCTCGAAACCGATCCCCTCACTGCTGTCAGGTCTACTAGTAGCACAAAGAGACTGGCACAGCTTTTAGATTAGAAATAACATGTACCGACAACTTGCTGTCATGTCTTCGGTCCTAAGCCGTGAACCCTGCACATCCCTACAGCCCTAAACCCTCAGGATACAATGGTTCTTTCGATAGTTTCCGAGCAAAAGATTTCCCCCGTGTACCTTAGACCTTAAGCCCCGCAACCCTGAACCATGAACTAAATACAGGATCATGGGACTTAGTAAGTAGGTTATAATTGGGGTTATAAGTCTTTTAAGTGGGGTTATCCTAATTGTAAGCTACTTATAACCTTACTTACTAAGTCCCGTGATCCTCTAAGTAGTGGAAAACCGGCATTGGGCCTGGCCTGTGGTAAGGCTGTGTGAATCGTTACGGCAGGCGTGAAAAATCCAACTGCTGCTTCAGAGCTGCAACTGATTGGGAGCTTCGGTATTTGGTGCTGAGCAGAGAGCCCACTTAGAGGATCATGGGACTTAGTAAGTAGGTTATAATTGGGGTCATAAGTCCCCTAAGTGGGGTTATCCTAATCATAGCCGACTTATAAGCTTACTTACTAAGCCCCATGATCCTTTAAGCAATACCCCGTAATTGAGGAATATACATACCGGAAATTATAAGGGGCTTAACTACTATAGTGTAAGCTAGATTCCATAGTTAAGGGGTATTGGGCTCTCTGGGTTTCGCGCGTTCGAGATGTGGGTGTCATCTGCTATTGTTGGAGGTGAAGGGTTTGGAGTGTTTGGGACCTTTTGGCACTTGTTGCTTTGAGGTGCTGAATGCCTGGTTACAACATGTGCTTGAAATGAGTCATAATTACCTTCAACCGCCAAACCCTCAATGCTAAACCCGTGGAGCTTATGTGATGCCTTGGTTCGTCGATGGACATCCGGGCTCGGGTCGCATGAAGGGGGTCTCGACATCACTTGGGTGGTTGTGAAAATCATGGTCCTCTTTTGGGTCCCTAATGTAGTACGACACCTTATATTTAGGGGTACCCAAAAAGGGACCTTAATTTTGACAACCACCCACTTTTTTTGGAAGTTGAAAGTCGGTCTTTGGTGCATACATCAGAACGACCCAGCAGACTGAAGACTCCCCTTGGCTTAGGGGTAGGTAGAAATAACTTTTAATTTTTGGCTATTATAATCCCTAAGAAACAGCTAAAATTGTAGTTTTTGCTAGGGTTCTAAGTTCAGTATAGTTGGGTACGGCCCCCACTTAGTAATAGTTGAATAATATTCATAATATAGATATAGTAGGACCTTAATAGCAGCCCTATCATAGACTCTTACTGTATGGGGGCCGTACCTAAGAGTCCCCGAAGTTCGGGTTTTTGCTGAAGCCTTTCGACAGTCCTACTTCATCTAGTATTCTGCATCCGGCAGAAGAAAGTCGAATCGGTAGGCCGTGGTTTCTCAGTTGGGAAAAGCCCTGTTAATCTGACAATTGGAGTTTTCGTGGCCTAGCACAACATCCCCAATATATACCCTTATGCCCCCTTCTCATTTCTATGGTCGCCTACTAAGAAGTTACGAATAGCAAGAAAGGGCAACCCTTTGCATGAGGGTCATGAAGGGATACAATAACACCTATAAAGCGCCACAAACCCTTATCTAGAGCCCTCCAACTAATTTGACTATTAAGCAGATACTGTAGGTACTGCCCCCTTACAGTAAAAAGTCTATAATAGGGCTACTATTAAGGTCCTACAATAGGGCTACTATTAAGGTCCTAATATATCTATATTATGAATAGTATTCAACTATTA